AAAATGATGTTCAATTTCACGGGTCGGGGTTATATGGTGGGACGGGTTTTGGTCGATATCAATACGGAACGGTATACGACGGGTGAAATCCTAGAATTAACAATCAGATATAATTATATAATCTTAAACACTAAATAAAACAAATAATATTAACAAAACAAATACAATTTAACATTTAAAAATTTTAGTTATAAAAAATCGATCCGAGGTGTACCGCGGAGTAATATAATAATATTAATATATAAATATATTTAATCAAACAAAACAATAGGTTATATCTATAGATAATCTTCAAAAAAAAATTCAAACTTTTGTTTAAAATATAGTCCCGCGGTGTACCGCGGGTTAAAATCTAGTAACATACATAATCAGAATCAAATCTACAGAGATATAATCCGTATCTAGGTTTTATCATCAACGGAGCTTCTCTTTGGGGGTCCTTGACATTGCCAAGGATTAACTATCTGTTTTAACGCGCTCGCGACAACCTTGAACAATGTTGAGTTTCCCTTATCCCGAGGACTGGCTATCCAACAGTTTGCTATCGGGCTCTACCGGGTTAGATCAATGCGTGTACACGACAATAATGAAGACATTCCTCTCTATAATGGCGTGTATGGATCTGGTCGTACAACCCTCTCATTCTCTGTGGTAAAGATACTGAAACATTCTCTCTTAATTTTTTAGCATAAATGCAACTGACTCTCTTTTATGATACAGTCACATAGTAATAGAAACTCCCAGCCACAACATAACATACATAATCAGAATCAAATCTACAAAGTAAACAAAATTTTATAACCTTTCTCTTTTTGTTGTAATCTACCAAAAAAAAAAGAGAACAAATTATGTACGCAATCAGAATCTATATAAACAAGAATCATAAATATGAAAGTTGGCCAACTCTCTCCATATGAGTGCCACATCATCACACAAGAAAATGACATGTGTCATTCTATATTATTTAAATAAAAAATTAGCCAAATTAAATGAGAAAAAAATTAAAAGTTCTTCATTGCATTAAATACTCCATCAATGGTGATGTATGCAGAGAGGTTTAAAAGATTTGATTTAAAAGAAATACTCCAGCAAATTATAATTGTAACACCCCGGTTTCAGAAATGGTGATGTATGCGGAGAGGTTTAGAAGATTTGATTTTGCCACCTAAATCCATCTTATGTATTTACAATTTTCAAGATTAGATTCATTTTTAACTTGAAATATCAATTTATACATCTGATTATTTATATTTCTAGGATCCTCATATTCTTTCACCATCATGAATACATACAAAAACAATATAAAATATTTTTATACAGTTATATGTAATTATGTTATTTGTGTGGTTTGAAACTCGCTTAATTTGATTATAAATACAATTTTTTTATTTTTTATTTTGTGTATTCTCCTGATCTAGTACTCTAATCACATCGTGATAGACTCAATATTAAATATTCGATATACATAAATTAAACAAGATCTCAAGAGTTTTCAAATGAAAATTTTTTAAAAAAAAATTAAAGTGTCATTTAAGTCATATATTAAAAATAGTCGTGTCTTGAATTCTTTGGTATATCTAACGTCTCAAAGGCCCATCACTTGAAAAAATTTGCATGTCAATGTTACCAACTTACCATAAGACACATAAAAAAAGTCATATGATAAGTCATATATGAACGACAAAACGTAATAATGAGAAAGACTCAAATTAAAATGACTAAACTACTAAAAGGTTAGGTAGCAAATAACTAAATTACAACACAAATAAAATTTCAGTTATTATCGAGTGGTGACCATTGATAAAAATTTATTTAGTAAAATAAGAAGAATATAATGAAAGTAATGCTTTTTATTAACATAATTTTGTATTTTTTTAAATTTTGAATAAATCACTTAAGAGTAGAATTGATAGAGGATTTAATGCAATCAAAAACTTTTTTTTCATTTAATTTGGCTAATTTTTTATTTAAATAATATAGAATGACATATGTAATTTTCTTGTGTGATGATTTGGCACTCATATGGAGAGAGTTAGCCAACTTTCATATACTAGGTGAGTATCCGCACTACGTGCGGACTTTCATTCTATATTTCATAATTATAAATGTAAACATTAGGTTAGTTTTTGTTAATAGGCAAGAAGACAAAATTTCCCTTATAAACGAGATTACCCTGATACTAACAATATAAATATACTTTTTTTTTACATTTACATTTAGATTCCTAATAAAAAAACTGTTCTCACTATATATTATCTTTTTATAATATTCTTTCATTACTGTTATCCTTAAACCAAAAGAAGAAGATAAAATGCAAAGAAGATTGGAGTACCCGTACTAAATCAATGATCATGGTATTTAGGTACAAATGTTAAGCATTGATAATTGGGCTGTCGTTTCGTTTGAACAACGATGTTATTAGTTTATAGCAAATAAACAAATAGAACCAAACCTTGATAAGCTTTATTGATTTGTCGAAACATAAATGTAAAATAATTCTCATCTTAAAATTTTTATCGTTGCCACTTTTGCAAAAACAACTAAAACAATACGAACTCCATCACTGAAGAACTCCATCATTGAGGATTTTAGTCCAATAATTTGATGTTAGAGGTTCTGACGTTCTCCTCACTATTTTTTAATATATTATATAGAAAAGTTTTTAAGAGAATAACCTACTCAAAAAATTCCGGAGTATGAGAAACCCCAATAAAATAATTATATTGAAGAAAAAAAAATAATCAAATATAATTAGTAATAATATAATTAAATATGTTAATTTTCAATGCAAAATTTCTTACTTTTTAATGTTTTATGATGTCATAAAACATTAAAAAGTAATAAATTTTGCATAGAAATTTGAAAACGACATCCAATTCAAAAAAATAAAAATTCTAAAACGACACTTATTAAAATACGGAGGGAGTATATGATATGATTTGTTTGACAATCATCGATTAAGGGAAAAAAGGGAGGTGGGGACATATAAAAATTAAAAACGAAATTTAAATGATCAATTGAAAAATGATGTGGACAAGATAAAACTCTTTGCCTTCGTGGGGGATTGTTATAAAGAACTTTTCACATTTGGTCTTAAAATGAGTTTATTTTAGAACAAAAATCCCCATGTCATCGAATGTACGAACTATTTAGATAATCTAGTTAGGTAAAAGAATTAGTTAGCTACAATGTTCGACCAAAAAAAAAGTTGTTCTTTCATTTTCATATTATTTCTATTTTTGTTTTATAATTATTTTTTATTTTTGTACATTGAGTTCTAATTCATTTTTTCTATCATTTAAGATCCATTTTCTAATATTTTTTAATTTAAATTATAATTTTTCTCTTTTCACTTTAAATTGTGCTGTTAAAGATAATTGCAGATGTTAAAAAAAAAAAGATAATTGCAGATTAGCGTTACAATGTACGTATATATATATATATGTATACGGTAAATTTTTTGCTTATGTGTATGTACATGTATAAAACATATTTTGAACTTATGATGTAAGTGTTTAATGAAGATTCATGTATTTAGCATTATTGGTGAGTCAAATGCATATAAGAAGAAGAATGAAAATTTTAGCTAAAAGAATGATAGTTCTTTACGTGTTAAAGAATCAACTACCATATTTTATAGATTGTGCATGTTTATTCTCATATAATTGACTACATACTATTGCAATACTTAAATGCACATGTATCACATATATGTACTCCAAGGGCTTGTAGGTGTAAATTTATGAGTCATATACATATCAACCACATATTAAAATCAAGAGACACATATATCTTCGTCTTGGAGGATAATGGTTCAAACCAAAAAACTTAACCACAACTCTTTAGATCATACAACAACATTTTTTCTTCTTCTCATATCGGGTCCATATTTCGAATTTTTGAAAGGTATATTGTGAAATGTTGGTTAAATTAACCAAGTTTATTCATAGTGCAGGTCTAAGTGTAAATATGTTTGTGTTATTTTGTCAAATCCGTTAAGGATGGTGTGAATAGTGTGTGCATGATGGAGGATTTGGCTGATGAAACTAACCTGGTTCGGGGGTGAAAATGCAACAAAAACCATATTGGAGACTCCAAATGTGGATGAATACAATGAGAAAGTAGATGAGAAGAAGAAGTAGAGGACAATAAAGAGGATAAAGAGAAAGAAGATGATGATGACGAATAGGATGAAGAAGAGGACGATGAAGATGACGATGGACAACGATTAGTCTAGTAGGAGAATGTCCTTGAACCGACTATAAATGGTAGTAAAAGTACTAGCGAAGTTTACATTACAACAAATAGACTAATTTTGTTGCTGAAAAATATGGGATAGGACATGACGGAAATATTTTTGACACAACCGACTGTGAGACCAACATGAAAATTTGGTTTATTAATAGAAACATGTACGTATACTAATGAACGTGTATGTGATGTTAAAAGCATCGATCATTTTTGGAAAGTGATATGTCTATATTTTACTAGTTTTTGCCATGCATTTATCTCTCATTTAGTCTAGTTTCATTCTTGTTTCATGTCTTTATTAGCACTTTGCATTACTTAGCATCATTTTGAGTATTTAGGATCATTCTTCATTTCCATTGCATGCATTCTTGCATTTTGGAGTTGTATCAGGTGTTTTTAGATACTACCGAAAATTGGTTGTCTCTTTAACAAAATAAGCAGGTGAGGCTGCGACAATGGTAGAGAGATTTTGGTATTTACAATCGGCACTTGCAGAAGCTTCATGTGAGTCAGGGATAACCTGGTAAAAAAATGTGTGACACATGCAAAACCAGTTAAACATAGAAAATTCGGAAATTGAAAAATGGATGAGAAAGGGATAATAAAAATTGAGCAACACAGCTTAGATAAAACATTACCTGAGCAAAAGGGGTTACCGGGGTAGAAGGAGTTTGCTTAGAGATTCAGCAAATATTTCCTCCTCACCTGTTTTTTTCTGAGGCATAGAATTTTCAAAATAGTCATTTGACCCAGACAAAGGACATTTGTTGTCACATCAGCAACACACTACAACTCAAAATGAGATTTCGGGGATATCAAGATAAAATATACTGTAAGAACATAAAAAAGAGATGACAATTTAACAACAAATATGTACCTCTTTTGCATTGGAGTTTGGGATTGGAGAGGCAGTCTGCTTGTATCTTTTGAAAATAAATGAAACATAAGAGGGTGAGCAATGTTTATTTATTGGTTACGTAAAACAAATAAAACAGGACACAGTTTATCTGAAAAGTGATACCTCAGAAATAGATTTTGCAGTCCCGTAAAGATCCCACGTATCATCACAAGCTGCATATTTTGGAGTAGTTTCAGCATCCTTACCAATGGGAATGTCTCCAGATAAACCATGCTTCAAACCGGATGAAGAGCTGCCAGAAGATAAAGAGGTAACCTCTTCTCTTTTATGTTTCCGTGAAACAGGATTCTCCTTCTTCTTCTTGGCCTTACTTTTTGATGTCTCGCTATGAGGATACCTTGGCTTAGATTGTTGAGACTTATCCCCCAAACATCTTCAAAATATCATCATTAATATTGTAACGGATGTCGCCAAACTGTTGAGAGATCCAAGCCTTCAAGTCAGATAATCCAAGATGGGTAATAAACTCAGAAGAGGAGCTTCCTACACCAGCCTGCGAAGCATCTACATTAGTATGGATTTTTTTGTCTGTATTCTTAGGGGCAGACTGTGGAAGAGGAGGAGCAGCAGCAGAGTATTGGGGTTTCTCCTTAGTTTTCTTAGAAGCAGGCTTGTTGGGAGAAGGCAGGGGATCAACAACTACTTCTGCATTTTTGGCTGACCGCGTGAAGGGCTTTCGCGGGAGAGGAGAGCTTTCATTTTTTGACCTCTTTGCAGTCCTCTTGGGTTCAGATATACCATGTTCTTCTTGATTATCCGACTATAGGTCAACAAACTCTGTACCGTGAGACTCTAGAGGGGCTCCATCAAACTCTTGATCTTGTGCTGAGGGAGCTTGACTGGGAATAGCTGAATTTTTCCCTTCAGACACGGTAGGATGGAAGGGAATGTCGTGAATAGGCCATATGTCAGGCTTGGAGAGGTGCTTTTGGTTGATCACTGAGATAATCAATTCTACTCTGAGATCAACAACTTCATCAGGCCAAGAGAGATCTTCATTCAACGGTTCAGAATGGTAAAGAGTGTATTCCTCTAACAACTGCAAAATATAAGGAATCACATAATGGTATTAATTAGACAACAAATGACTTAGATCTTAGAGACAAAAACTAAATAAATTTAAAACTAACAATCTAACTTACATTAGGATTGTATTCAGCGTCAAGAACATCGGTCTCACGAAGAAGAATGGTACGAGAAAGATCAACGATAGGCCTTTGGATAAAATTTCTGAAATCAGCAGAGTCTTTAATCCTACTACAAAGGACAGGAATGGAGTTGAGGACTTAGAGTTGGAGAGCAAGAGGGAACCCGTAACAGCAACTGCTTCTTTGAAAAAGCCGGGTCTTGAGCTCTCCAATAGGATCTTTCTGAAGAATAGAAAGGCCAAACCGCCCCATTGTTGCTTCAAAAGCAACACGGCCCCATGGGTAATTCATGAAGAACTCAATCTCATGTAACATCTCTACAAAAAAGCTAGTAACACGACCTAATTTCTTGTTGCTACATACAACAACACCATCAACAAGCACAATTAGAGCAAGACTCAACTTCTTCCAAGTCGAGAACCGCTTCTGTGACTCTGAATTATTATCATCCCTCAGCATGTGAATCACTTCTGATACAGTCACTACCCTCTTCTCACCAAAAAGCTGATTCCAAACAGATAGATATGCATGGTCTTGGTGATCTTCTACCTCAGAATTAGATGGAAGCTTACCACAAATAAGACCAGTGGGGATGTGAAATTCACGGAGCGAGAAGCGGAGAGGAAACCCACCATATGCCTTCTTTGAGTCAAAAGTTGTCTAGAAAGCTTACCATGAATCAATTTGGCAGAATAAGAACATCTTGCAACAGGGAGTTCAAACAAGTTTCTGAATTGAGAAGCAAGAAGCAAACCCCATGCCTCAGAACAATCGAGGAGTTGAACCAGAAGCCCCAAATACTCCGGCGTGGAGTAAATGCTAAAGCGAGCCCGATCTGGTAACCCGTCAGGAGGCAACAGACGCCTAGGGAGGCTAGTGTTTGGATTAACATCTACGCCGGTTGAAGTTTTAGCCGGAGAATGTGCAGAACCTGAGACAGATGCGGCTATTCATTTCAGAAACTCTCAAAATCACAACAATTTTGAAAGATTTAAACGAAATCAACAAAGATGAAATGACAAACGATTTGATTACCTCGTTTAGACTCGGTTTTGTTGCCTCGCCGAGTGTTCCTTTTTCATATTGACGGTTGGGGTTTTCGCTGGAGAATGTACAGAACCAGAGACAGATGCGGCTAAATACATAGAAACACTCAAAATCAAAACAAAATTTGAAAGATTTAAACAAAATCAACAAAACTGAAATGCCAGACCAAATCAACAGAACAAAATCAAGAAAACATTTTCATATTAATGAATTAGTCATGGAGGAGTAAGAAGCCTAGCTGAAGCACCTTAAACTTCTGATCGTAGTAAACAAGCAACTAACTCGAACAACTCAAAATTATGATTATAGAAAACAGGGAAAAACAAGCTTGTTTTGTTAGACTAAAAGTATCATTTGTTTATGTAAAATGATTTTTGATGCCTAACAAAATAAGCTTGTTTTGTTAGACTAAAATTACATGCTTGTTTATGTAAGATAATTTTATATACTCAAATTCCAATGGACATTCGTAGCTAGTAGAAGGATAATTGATGTTTTTTCTCTAAACATGTGATCATATGTTTGAAAATTTATATAGTTATTGTGTATTATATTTAAGTTCTTAAACTTGTCTTCTTTCTGTTAGAAAAGAGATTAAAAAATTATATACTAAATTCAACCAAACCAGAAGAATTATTTTCTGAAAGATAGCCAGACAATGATTTACGTACATATTTAAATTTATAAGATTGCCAAAATAAGTTTTTCAAATTCTCAAGTGAAAATCTTAAATTAAATTACCATGTATGTGTATAAATCATCTTATAGATTTATAGAACAACATGCAAAAACCAAAGAAAGCACTTAAATTAATAGTGAAATAAAAACACTTTGAAATCGAATGGTAAGACCCGAATTACACGACCCCATCAAAAGTTCAACATACAAATAAAGAAAAAAGAAAAGCAAAGCACTATAAAAGACTCAAAGTGGTCAAGCTCGAGCCACCATTGACCATTCACAAGCTTCCTCCGCGGAGACGGAGAACAAGGTGAAGAGTCGACTCTTTCTGAATATTGTAATCTGCTAAAGTGCGACCATCCTCGAGCTGTTTTCCGGCAAAGATTAGTCTCTGCTGGTCCGGAACTATCCCTTCCTTGTCCTGAATCTTGGCCTTGACGTTGTCAATCGTATCAGAGCTCTCGACCTCAAGTGTGATGGTCTTGCCCGTCAAAGTCTTGACAAAAATCTGCATCCCACCACGAAGACGCAGTACAAGGTGAAGTGTTGACTCCTTTTGGATGTTGTAATCCGCAAGGGTACGACCATCCTCAAGTTGCTTGCCAGCGAAGATAAGTCTTTGTTGGTCCGGAGGGATTCCTTCTTTGTCTTGTATCTTAGCTTTCACATTGTCAATGGTGTCTGAGCTCTCAACTTCTAGAGTAATGGTTTTACCAGTAAGGGTTTTCACAAATATTTGCATGCCACCGCGAAGACGAAGGACAAGGTGAAGGGTCGACTCCTTCTGAATGTTGTAATCCGCAAGGGTGCGACCATCCTCAAGCTGCTTACCGGCAAAGATAAGTCTCTGCTGGTCCGGAGGGATCCCTTCCTTATCTTGAATCTTAGCTTTAACATTGTCAATTGTGTCTGAGCTCTCAACCTCCAAAGTTATGGTTTTGCCAGTGAGGGTTTTCACAAAGATCTGCATACCACCGCGAAGACGAAGTACAAGATGAAGGGTTGACTCCTTCTGGATGTTGTAATCAGCAAGAGTACGGCCATCCTCGAGCTGCTTACCGGCGAAGATAAGTCTCTGTTGGTCCGGAGGGATTCCTTCCTTGTCTTGGATCTTGGCCTTGACGTTATCGATGGTATCTGAGCTTTCGACCTCAAGGGTTATCGTCTTCCCTGTAAGAGTCTTAACAAAGATTTGCATACCACCTCTCAACCTAAGAACCAAGTGGAGGGTTGACTCCTTCTGAATATTGTAATCTGCCAAAGTACGACCGTCCTCAAGTTGTTTACCGGCAAAGATAAGTCTCTGCTGGTCTGGAGGGATTCCTTCCTTGTCTTGGATCTTTGCCTTGACATTGTCAATTGTGTCGGAGCTTTCGACCTCAAGAGTTATGGTCTTGCCAGTAAGAGTCTTGACGAAGATCTGCATACCGCCTCTCAACCTAAGAGCCAAGTGGAGAATTGACTCCTTTTGAATATTGTAATCAGCCAAAGTACGGCCATCCTCGAGTTGTTTACCGGCAAAGATAAGTCGTTGCTGGTCTAGAGGAATCCCTTCTTTGTCTTGGATCTGTGCCTTGACATTATTGATGGTGTAGGAACTTTCAACATCAAGGGTTATGGTTTTTTCTGTAAGAGTCCTTGCGAAGATTTGCATCATCACCATCTGGAAAAACAACACACAAAAAAGTAAGTACAAACCCAAAGCTCTTTAACCAAAAACACAAAACCCTAATTTTCTGAAAAACCAGCCACGAGAGAAACTTTCGAGCGATAATCTCAGTTATATAGTGAAACGAAGGGTTAACTTCAGAACGTTAAAACTAGAAAGATCAGAGGCAAAAAGATGAAGAGAAGAGATCAGAGAAACATATACCTTGAGAGAGGAATCTAAGAAACTTTTGCAGAGCAATTAGGGTTTGTGAGAGATATCTTAAGGAAACTTTTGCAGAGCGATTAGGGTTTGCAAGAGATGAAGAATTATAATTACAACGAGAGGTAAAGGTATGTTTATATAGGCAATTCACACCGCCTTTGGTTTAAAGGAAAACAAAATCTTATACAATTATAAATAGAAAATATGCTAAAAAGAATAAAGGAAAAATCTTGTGTAAAAAAAAGAGAAAAATCTGCCTGGTATTATCTTAAGACGCAAGTAATGTAATTTTGTTAAAATTGTATAAATTACAAAGTTTTGATAGTTTGCGGCACAATTCCCAAAATTTATATATTTATAACTTATAAGCTATCTTTGTTAAAATTGTGTAGTTTTATGCATATAATTCAAAATATTGATCACTACCTAAAATTTGTATAACTAAAGAAAACATTTAAAAAAAAAAAAAAAACATATCACCTAGTAGTGAATTTTTGATGTGTTACGATTCGAATTCATACTTGATGGAATACATGTGAATTTAGTGAGAACTTCTCTGTTTCTTCTTACTAACATTCATTATAAGGCAACTTTTTACCATTCAGTAACAAAAAGTACGTTGATTAGACTTTTAACTTTTGGACAATTCAACCTCAGAAACCAATTGTAAAAATATACATGAATTATCTTGTCATCATCATATACAGAGGCTATTTTCTGTGGTAACAATTGAAACAGATCTTTTTCTGTACAACGACAATTCGCTATGGAAACTGTTTCTTACAGAGAGGGAGAGAGAGAGAGAGTAAGAAGAATATTATGGTTTTTGTAGTACTTACAGCGGTTTTAGCCAAGGTAAGGCAACATTGGGTCCAAGCCTAGTCCTGACCCTCCCAAGCTACCAGGGTCTGCATGCTTTACTCTCCCGAAATAGCGTATGTGACGCAACAGTCTTGCAAGGAACGTGTTGTGGCAGATTGTGGAGCTATCGCATACCACTGCCACGTGCTTCCGGGCTCTTGTTATGGCTACGTTCATCCGTCTGCTATCCCCTAGGAATCCCACTGCACCTAGGTTGTTTGACCGTACCTGTAATGGGTTCACAACACAGCAAGTACATGAGTCTTATTTGCATTTATGAGTTGTTTGATGAGAAGCATACCGACAATTATGTTAAATCGGTTTTGGTTTTCACAATCAAGTTCAACTAAGATATAAATGGATTCATAACCTAATCTCTATTTCTTTACTAAAACCATTTGACAGACGCTAATTCTAAAATACAGGTTCCGTATATAGTTAGAGGATAAGGTATGCATGCCACAGAATGGAAACGGAGCAGAGTAATGTGTACCATTGAGATGATCACAGCATCAGCCTCCCGCCCTTGAAAGCTGTCAATGGTTGCGACCTCAACTCCATCAGCCACTGGAAAATCATCCAGCCTTTCTCTGAGAAGTTGAACCTGAGCAACATATGGGGATTGAACAGCAATAGCCATTGGACTAACACCTGCAATTATGTCCAACGAGTTGTTTATCAGGTTATCGAGCTTATATTAAGGAACAAAAATAGTATGCGTGTGAAGCTTAGATTCTTCGAACTCTGGCAAAGTTTTTATTATATATCCCAGTCATTCAACTGAAAATAGATCGCTCACCTGCATATATCAAAGAAATGACGTGATTAACCACAATATCTGCTTCTCCTTCATTGTATAATGAGCCTGTACCAGCTGGATCAAGACGCTCCTCGCAGCCCATTGATAAACTCCCATATGGCATTCTTGTGTCAAGCAGAACCAGTGGGCATTGTGTTATCCAAGTAGGCTGAAGTAAGTTCAAGAAAAGAATGATGTTACATCTAAGAGTCATGGGGTTACCAAAGTGCTTCCGATCTACAGTGATGTTGCACTTTATTAGACATTCAAAGGTTCTGTTTATTATTATCCAATCACAAGCAAAACAAGAGGGAATCATCTATTGCAAGCTCAGGAGAAAACTCACTTCTCAATGAGGTCATAAAAAGCTCTAAACAGTCTATATTTCAACCACACGCAAAGATAGTATCATGAAAGACAAACAGACAAAGTTGCTTAAGAAACCGATAATGCTTTATTGGAAGTTTTCTAAAGAATAAAAGCTTAAAAGGTAAACAGATGTGTGATTGCATGCCATGTTACCATTATATAAATACCAAAACCAATCAAACAGCAGAAACAGTAAGAAGAAGTACCTTCACAAACGGAGAATCGATAAGCAGATGAGAGGCCACACTTGGAGCAGATTTCAACCATCCACCATACATCTCCTTTGATGCCCAACCAGCGATTACATCATTCATACGATACTGAGTTGTTAGTTTTGTCGCAAGAACTCCATCATGTAAAGATGCAGCTCTTTCCAGTAAGGATACACCAAGCCCACCTTCTAAAGCTTTATGAGATAGAACAACAGGTGCTAATTGGCATGGATCACCGGAAAGAATACAACGTTTCCCTTGCAATATTGGGATCCAGCATGAAGGCTCGATAGACTGACCAGCTTCATCTATAACAACCAAATCAAATGTTTCTAGCCTCCTAATCAAAGGATCAGCTGCTCCAATGTTAGTGGCAAAAACAACCTGTGCATTTGATAGTATTTCCTTCACGGTCTCCTTTTCCTTCTTCTTCAGCGTCTTTCCAAGCTGTTTCAAGAGCTGCCGAATGCCAGCTGCAAGAACATCATCCCTCAGGCATTGCCGAAGGTCTTTTCTTAAATCTGACTTCTTCCTTTCCAACTCTGCTCGGAAGCTTGCAAGCTTAGAGTTCACAATTTCCCCCAAAGACTTTGAAGCAACGGCAGATGATATTCTTGCAGGATTTCCTACTCGGACAATGTTTAGTCCAAGATGCAAGAGCTTCTCGACCATATTATCAACAGCTGCATTAGTAGGTGCTGTTACAAGTACTCTTTCCCCCTGCTGAACAGCAAGGGTAATGACCTCCTTAAGCATTCCAGTCTTTCCCGTGCCAGGAGGTCCTTGAACTATCATTACAGGTCTTTTTTTGTTTACTCCAAGAGCTATGGCTCTCCTTTGGGAAGAATCAAATAACTTACTCACTGGCTCATCACTCAACTCTGCTTCACTCCAGTCTACATAATCATTTTGCTCCAGCCATGTTATATCTTCCCCATCCCCAAATAAAGTCGCCACAACAGATATTGATGGATTTTTCTTCTGCAGACCATTCTTCTGCAGAAGCATTAGGGCTTCGCAGTTACGCTGCAATAAAAGACTATACAATAAGCGAGTGGCAGAAAAATAGTAATGTAAACTATCAATAGTTGAGCAAACACTTGCAATAATGGGACATGACAAGCATATTTAAGGTGAAAGTTACTGTGATAAAACACTGCATCTTCAACCAATGTGGAACAAAGATATACCTCGTAAGTTAGGGCATCGGCCAACCCATGAATACGATCAATTCTCACACTCTTTCCAAAGAGCTTGGAAAAAGTAGGATCTCCATGACGAGATTCTAGAGCCACACCAATGCTACACCCATCTTCTCCAAGGTTGTGAACAAAGCCCTGCGTACAGGCAGTTGCTCCAGCACCCCTACTGTCACAAACTCTTATGCAAACCATGTCACCAGGGGAAAGTGTAGTAGGAGGAAGACGGTGGTTTCCCCCAACCTTAAACAACACCAAGTGCATACCTCCGAGCCCTGCATATTGTTTACATATTACAACAAATTTCATCGGAAACTGAAAGAGAACAAGTTACAACAAAATGCATATCTGGCTAAGTCTAACCTGTGGAGGTACTAACTGCATACAAATTGCAAATTGTATCACAAAGTTCCTGTGGAGCATCACCGTGCCTAACCAAGAACTCAATCGGTTTTGAAGAATCAGAGCTCTCATCTGGAGTAGGGATAACATCTAGTTCTTCCTGTGTAACTTCCAGTTCTGTATCTCGTTCCACTTGAAGTAACTGCGACATCTGGCTGGTGAACTCATCAATCCTTGCCTGTATAGCTTTCACCTTCTCTGAGTCCATTCCAAACACTCCTTGAACAGGCTTTGCTTGAGCAGCTTTGCGAGCAACCTCCCGATGCTGAGCTGCACAACATCATACAAGCAAACAAAATTTCCACTTCAGCCAAACTATAAACCAATAAGATCTAAGAAAAACTATAAACAGATTGGAATCAACTCGCATATTCATATGGCAGCAGTCATAGACTTGAAGAAATCAAACCTGAATTAGCTATCTCCTTGAGCAGCTTCCAAGACTCAGTCTCCTTCCAATTCTCCATTATATTCTTCCGCTCCAGGTCTTGAAGAACATCACGCAACTCTCTCTGGAAATGATCAAACAAGGTAGGATAATGGGTACAAGCCTTCAAACAAATGACTTCAGAACCTAATGGCATAGGAATAGCATTGAGATACGGCTGAGCCTGAATCACAAACGTCAATCCAGATCCAACGTTCTGCCTCAACTCCGAAAACTCCCCCTGAACCTCCGCATTAGCGAAATCCGAAGCCATCGCCTTCATAGCCTGACTAATCCACTTCACTACATTCCTCCCTAAATCTCTCCGCCCTAATGGATCACCATTTTGATTCAAAGCACGAAGACTCAATTCTTTATCGCTCTTCGGTTTCTCATCTTCCTCCTTAACCTCCTCAACAACAATTTCACTACTTAAACTCACAGATTCAAAATTATCATTCCTCTTCTCAATTTTCTTAGACCTAAGTTTATCGGAAACATTACTTTTCCTTCGAGGCTTCTTCTTAGTAGCACTGGAACTAGAACCGCCATTAACGCCGCTGCAAAAGACCTTCCGCGTCGGGAAAACACGAACTCCACCATCTCTCTTATCGGAGACCACACAAACGTAATTCACCGACGGTCGAGTAAACGTAAACGCCGCCGTCGCCGTTGTAGTCGACGGAATCCGAATACTTCTACACAAGAAACTTGAAGCTGCTTCCATCAGATTTTTTCCAGCGATTCAACACAAAAAACAAAAAAAAAAAACTTCAGATTCCCGAGAAAACGCAAGCTAGAAAGCAGAACCTAGTGACATTTTCCGGGAATCGAAAGGAAAATACAGAGAATTGAAAATCTAGTGGAAGCTATTTATATATCGGAGAGAAAAAAAATTCAGATATTTGAGTTTGAGAGACGAATTTAAATCTAAACCGCAAAATTAAACTTGAGGCTCAGAAATATTTTTATTTTTAATTTGTTTCTGTTTCATTTTGGTAAAACGAATTTTGTTTTTGAGACTTTGACATGTCACAAACATAGCAGAGAGAGAGTCGTGATGAGAGATCGTAGTGGAGAGATGTGATTGGCTAGTATTGATTCTTTGTGAGCAGGTGACGTGTTTAATTACTGTCCTATCCTTACATTTTTGTTTGTTGATATATACCCCTATATTTTTAGATTCATCTTTAGAGACCCCGTATTTTTTGGATTTGATAATTGATCCCATTTTGCTTTGGAATTGAGTTCCAACATATGGGTCGGTAGAATGCTCCCAACTGATCTGTTGGTTTAAATTGGGAATTGCATTTTTCAAGCTACACAATTCATATAGCACATTTGAAACATTACACTAACTTTTTTCAACCTTAACTTTATAGTAACTAAGATTATGTTAAATTTAGAATATCACAAAGATATAGATAGAAAGGACAATCGTTCCCTTATTCACTCTCTTTTTTTTCCTCTGAAAATGTAGATCCTTGAGTTTAGTTTTTGTCGTTCTTGTATAAAGGTCTCTTCATCGCCGACGGTTGAATAAGTGGGCGAAGCTGTGGTGGGCGCTCTTATCCGGTGGTGATGAAGCGTGGCAGATCCAGATCGATCATGGTTGTATGTTTATCATGTTCTACACTCAACTAAGCGGAAAAAAGGCTTTTTCATACCTCAGCTACAGAGGTATGTTCGATTCATACATCAAGTATAGCACCGTGCTAATACATACCTCAACAAAACACTAATTCAAATTTACTACCCAAACTTAAGAATTCGTGCAGAATCATACATCTATTGCCACAATGGCAAAAAACTATTATGTTTTGATGACGTGGAAGCCACGTATGCAACCACGTGGATGCCACGTCATATTATTATTTGTTAACAAACAGTTTTTTTTTCTTTCAATTTCAATTTGTTTGTTAAGTTTATATATATTGGAGTAGTGATTTATAAAAAGTACTTTAAAATTCACAAAACATTTTAACCATTGAATTTTTATGACTTTAACAGATTTTAGATTATTTACTTAGTTAAAAATACAAAGATCCAAATCGCATTATTTTAAGTGAGATTTAACAAAAAATCACAATAAATTTCTAAATTCATTGCAAACCATTAAAGTCATCTAAAAATTCATTAAAACTCAAATTTGTTTAAAATATAGATTGCATGTTATATCAAAGAATCCACCGGAGAGAGATATTATTTATATATATATATATATATGCATAAACATTTATGCAAAACTTAACAAATAAATTAAAATTAAAAAATATTGTTTTTTAACAATATGACGTGGCATCCACGTCATTGTACATGTGGCGTCCATGTCATCAATATTTAATAGTTTATTGCCACGTTGGCGACATATGTATGATTTTGCACAAATTCATAAGTTTGGGATGTAAATTACAATTAATGCTTTGTTGAGGTATGAATTTGCACGGTGATATAGTTAATGTATGAATCGAACATACCTCTATAGTTGATGTATGAAAAAGCCTTTATTCCTCAACTAAGCATACGAAGTGTTAAAGTTGGTGTCCAAAATCTGCTTGTGAATATCATTTATTTTTGTCTTATTTTCATAGATGGTTTTTTGATTTAGAAAATTAGATGTTGTTGCTAATATGTCCCAACTAGTGTTTGAGCAGTGGAAAACTAATATTTTGTTTTTGTTTTTTCTTCTAAACAAAGCAAAACAATTTTTTTTGAACACCAACAAAACAAAAAGATAAAAACAAGATTATATACTTAAATTTTTTTCAAACAAATTATATGTTTAATTAAAATGAAAAAACATCATAGAAAAATACCACCGAATTTTCGTGATCCATATACAATATAAACTTTTTTTGATTAAAATATGTATAGCAATCTTTTTCGTTTTCCTAAAATCTCAAAATCGACTCTTAAATGTTATGAAACATTTTTATATATACGGAAAAATATTTTGAAAAGTTTGGCATTCAACATTAGAAAAGATACAACAAAACCAAAACAAGAATACTATCAAATATCAATGATAAATGAGTTATGATAGTGTTCATATGATTAAGTTTGCTAGATATCTTATTTTTCTCTATTAAAAGTAGACTCCACATCTTAATAAATATTTCCGGTCTTACTTAATTCTTTGACAGAAAAATATTTGTTTATGAATATCTTAGTGAAAACTTTGTCTTCGTTGCAACAATACAAAATATAGGGGTGTAAATGGGAAACTAGAACTTGAGAAGATTCAAAGAGATATTAATTTAGCTCTTTTATGGAATATTATTATAGTTCTTTAAAGATTATTGGTCCTCCTATGTAGAATAATGGGTGTAGCAACATGTGGCAGAGAAGATGCTTGAGAAAGACAACTAAGCATCTCCCGAAGAAAGACCCTACTTGTTCAATTTTCCATCACTAAAGAAATTTATATTTTTGGTCAAAAAAATAAATTCTTACAAATCATACGTGGAGAAAGAAAAAAAGAAGTGCTAGTTTCTCATAAATTAACGAAAGGAGTGTGTCAAGCCAAATATGCAAATGGTCAAAATTGAATTTATTTATCGTCGGAAAAATTATGCGAAAATTTTCTTTTGTGGATCAAAACCATCAATTATTTTATTTGAAAGAATTTAGAACACGCTATAATGCTTTCATATTTGAAAGAATATTTTTCATGTCTTTATATTTTAAAAATGAACTTTTGTATTACTAAATGCTCTTTTAAGTTTCACCATTTTTCTAGTTAAAACTTATAGAATAATAGTTTTTCATTATTTTTAATAAATTTTCAAATTTTATGTTTTTGTTTTATCCATTAAAAAATATATATATATATATATTAAAGAAAATATAAAATACGGTGATATAGGTATAGGCATATAGCAAACAATAAAATATAAAATATATAATTAGTACCAAAATTACAGATAAAAAACAAATAAACTCACATTTTCATCTAAATGTATGCAGACGAGATACAATATAGATGTTAAGTCAAATCTTGAACATTTTGATCTTTAATTAACTGTTGTGATTATAAGAGTTTGATCTTTATAATGTTTAGAGGATACGTTTTCATAATTATTAACATTACGGTAAGGAATTTATCGTCTATATACCATTTATGTATAATTAATCAAAAGACAATAAAAAACGGTAAACCAAATATTTTACATACAAAAACGGCAAACATAATTTTATTTTTTATTTATATATTTGTATATTGCTACTAATTCTAAGTTATTTTTATATAATTATTTTATTAAAAAATCATTATGGTCAATTACGCAATGACTCGTTTTCTGTATTATTCAATAGAAATCGTCAGTTATCTTTTCCAATATATAGTTCAACAAATTGGTGTATTGGAAGCATCCAACAGGCTCGTAAAAACCATTGAAGGGATAGTTTAGTGAAGTTTATACCAAATCTTTTGAACATGCTGGTTTATGATTGTCACGGTCAAATATTCCACAATATATCTTTACCAAAAAAGGAAAGGATGGCGGCATCTTTACAAGTGTAATCTTTTTTTTTTTGGTAAGTCGAGGGGAGACAAGTCTCCCGTTATTTATTAAAATAAAAGAACAATTACAAATTTACAAGTGTAATCTTACCCAAATATGAAACATATGCATAGCAATTAAGAATGCTTTTTGTAATTGGAGGAACCACTCACAAAAATCGTTTAATTACAACCACTCTATCTTCCAAATGTTTTGATAGCTTAGCCTTTGTATTCTTAAGGGAGTTCTTTTAATTGGTTAAGGTTGGATCAAAGGTTGAGTAATTGACATTACAGTTGTATGGTTATACCTATTTTGGTACATTAGTATTGTTTTTTTTTTTCAAGTATTTCGTTGCATCACCCATCTTTTATATATATATATATATATATATCATTAGAAATAAACAAACATGTTTTACAAAAGTTGACAACCTATACAATTGAATCCTTGGCAAAAAAGTTTTTAAAAAAGGGAGACAGTAAAATCTGGGAGAGTTTTTGGGAGAGTTTTTGGGAGAGATTATCGAAGCCATAGCGCCATTAGCTTGCTGAATGGGCGCCTAATTCTTCTTGAGATAATGGTGTTCTTGATATCGCGATATATGCTTCTGAAGATTAATTGCGGAGACATCGAGAGCATACTGGCAGAACATTGTTGCGCTGTTTCCAAATATGAAAAACAAAGGCCTGGGTAACGGTTTTTCTGAGAATTGACGAAGCCTCCTGAGATTGCATTCTAGTCCATGATAGAAGCTCTGACCAAGTGCAGAAGGATCTACGTCGATGATCAAGTCTTGAGAGTACCATACTCCAAATCTGAGCTGAAAAACCACAAGATATGAAGAGATGATCTTTTGACTCTTCAAAAGCAGAGCATAAACAACAATCGATGGGTATGTTTATACCCCACGACGCCAATCGCTGTCTTGTTAACAGCCTATTAAGATTTGCCACCCACATGTTGAAAGCGTGTTTGGGCACAGTCCCTTTGAACCATACTGAATCGACCCAGCTGACTTCCTCATGTCGTGGTCTTAAAACATCCAAAGCCCTTGCAGAAGAAAAAAATCTATTAGTGGAACCATTTATTTTCCAAAAATAGTAGTCCTCGGTGTCATTTGCGCTGAAAAGCTGCTGTGTTGTTAAATGAACATGGAGGGACAGAGCAGCGTCGATTCGCGGTGCGGGTTAAGACCAACCTGTCCCATTGCAAGTTGCAACCAAAATACTTGTTAACGGCAATCTTTAATCTTTAGGCCCATATTATATATTTCTAGTTGTTGGAGTTCCATCTAGCGACTACATCAAATTGATGCACATTCAATATCTAGTACCACTTATGTTCCTAACATTTTCCACTCTTACAGAAGCATAATTAGTTTCAAGTTGTGATAGTCTTTCTTTCTTATTCTTATGTTTCATATAAAGTGATGAGTGTCGTCAAATATACAACATTGTCTCAAAGGATATTACCTCTTGTATAGATATTTGTAGTATCTCATCACAAGTCATGTCTTATCTAGTTAAAAGTTAAAAACTACATCTTTTTACATGTCAAACTATTTGAACAAATTTTAACTATTTTGGATTCGTACAGTTCTAGAAGTTCTATAAACCGACATGAGATAATATTCTTTATTAATGAATAACCTTCAACCAATACCGTCAACACGTCGGTTTAATCAAACAATACTGCTTTAATTTACAGTTAATTGGAAGTGTTGAACTGTTGATGAATAAGTTTTCGAAGATTTAGACGTCGGTTTGGTCCCTTAGATTTTTTTTTTTTATTATTATGAATCCGGGCATCAGGTTCAAACACCTCACTGAGCTGGTCTAAATAACCAAATTTAAGCTAAAAATATTAGCTCCACCTAATATAAATTGTTAGTATTCTCAAACTTAATTTTTAATATAAGTTAAAGTTGATATTATCCAATAAAAATTTTCAGATACAGAACCAACATTTGTTGGAAAAAAAACAATAGAAGCAACATCTGTTAAAATATATTTTTCTCAAAGTAATACAAATTTTAGATTATTTAACTAAAGACATTGTAAATTAATAAAAAAGATATAGGATTATATGATAAATAATCTAAATAATAATAATAAAATCCACAGAATACAGAAATTGCAAGAGGGAAGCAGAAGAAGAAAGAACAAAAATCAGGAGTTGGCATTTTGAAGACGAAACTCATCGACTCATCTTCTTCTTCCTCAGACAACAACAACAAAAAAAGCTTCACTTTCTCTCGACCCTTCTCTCTCTCTCTCTCTCCCAAAGTCTCTCTCTTTGCCGTCGTTGCCTCGCAATCCTCTACACTTTGGGGCTGCGATTCTTCCAATCCTCCGATTTCAAATTTGAAATCATAGTTTGAAATCATCGAGCTTTACGTTGCTGTTGGTGTTTGACGCCATAGAAATCGATTCTTTTTATACATTTTATGGTTGATTTATCGATAGTTCTGTGAGATCGATTTTAGGGTTTCGAGTTGGCGCTGACTTGAGGTTTGATTGGATGAGAAAAAAGGGGTATGGGACTTGAGTCAATTGGGTTTGTCTCCCTAATCATCGCAAATTCCTGATTTCTGAGCTCTTTCGAGGGAATTAGGATTCGTTGATTTCGAGTTTCTGTTGGTTGATGAGAGAGTTGGGTTTGGTCAATTGAGGTTTTGGGTTTTCGTTTCTGATCATGGATGACATTGATTCAAGCGATGGTGCTGCGGCGGCACGAGCTGGTGAGATTTGCTCTATTGGGGTATCAACACCGTGGAAGCCAATTCAGTTGGTTTTTAAGCGTTATTTGCCACAGAAAGGTTCCGATAGCAAAGTTCGTGTTGCGGTGAAGAAGCCGGTAAGTATTGTTCTTTTCTTTTTTGGGACGGACTATGCGAATTTTAGTTTCATCTTTGAATGCATTTTTGTGTGACATCTTTTGTATAGGAAGATAGTGAGTACAAATAAAGACAGGGCAAGTGATGTCTGCTAGTTTACTAAGACAATGTTGTTTGTGAAGCTGCTAGTTAGCTTCAGATTTGTATGAGTTTCAAGTTGAATAGGCATGGTCTAGTAATGTATGTTTTCTCTTACAGTAGTAATAAAGGAGGATTAGGAGATGTTTCCGCTCTCTAAATATACTGAGATTATACTATATTATGAGTTCTATATTAAGTTTGTAACACACTGGCAAGTGCCTTGGACGTGTCGAAAATAGGTGATGATTTGAATTCCTGCTAAGGTGGCTGTTTAGCTTTGTTGAGGGGTTACCTAGTACATATAGCTCAATGCATTTACCATGGCACTTTAGGTGAAGGTTATATAGTCCAACACCTATTTCATTGGTAATGCAGCGTCAGGGTAGAGTTATCTGCTGCTCCTTTTAAGTGTCATCATCCAACCAAAATCAGCTCATTTCTGAATTCAATTCAAATTTTAGCCATTTTCATATTGTTGGTTCTCGAGGGTCCTGGTTAAATGATTGTATATGGCATGACCATCTGTTTTTTTTCTTTTCACTCTAATAAACAAGTGAGCATGTTATTGCTTTAATCTTAGTTGCATCACAGGCAGTGGATGATTACGTGGTTGAAGTCTGTCATGATCTTTGGGTTTGCATAGGGAATGTTTGTGCACACTAGTTTATTTGCTAAGAAAATTCGCTGGTAGATTTGTTGGATCATTTGAATGCATACCAGAGTTCAATTGGCATTAAGATGACCAATCTGGACCTTGTTGTGTAACTGTCTAGCAGAGTATATAGCAAGTCTCTCCATTAGTTTTCTAGCCGCTGTATTTGGCGCCATTCTGCTGTAATAGTTGGGCATGGTTTTGGAATATACTGATGACTGTTGGTGTCTTCTTACCTTGACTTTTAGCGAGGTTTATTACTCATACTCTTTGTACCTTTTTTTCTTGTACTGTATCACTATTTTGAAAAGACTGCAGAAATGTATATCACCTAAGGATGGTAACAGTTGAAGTATTTGTCTCCGTTGCAATACTTTTCAGAGCTCAGATTAACTTTGATATATTTGTCTGTTTGTAGGTGGTGGTGAGACTAACTAGGGACTTGGTTGAGACGTACAAAATATGTGACCCACAGTTCAAATATAGAGGAGAGTTGAATCCCAAGCGGTACTTGACTACTCCATCAGTTGGTGTGCACAATGATGGCTTTGATAATGTCAACTTTGATCTAATTCTGGCTGTAAATGATGATTTTTGCAGTTCAGATTCACGGCAGAGGTTTGATATTGTCTTATTTATTTTCAATTTTTATTATATTAATAATGTTCCCTCCTTTTATTGTGCTGTCAGACGCATTAATTTGAACCACTTTTCTATCTACAATAGACGTCTTTTTGATTAAGCTAATAAGCTTCACTCGTTCTCTTAGATACATTATCAAAGATCTTCTTGGCCATGGGACTTTTGGTCAGGTTGCTAAATGCTGGGTTCCTGAGACAAACAGCTTTGTTGCTGTAAAAGTAATTAAAAACCAGCTTGCATACTATCAGCAGGCACTGGTTGAAGTATCTATTTTGACAACGGTATGTAATTATTAGATATTTGAATGATCCTTTGTATTCAAATTCTTGGTAGTGAAAATTGCTAGTGGGTCTGTCTCTTACTTTTTGCTTGGGTGTGTAGCTAAACAAGAAGTATGATCCTGAGGATAAGAACCATATCGTTCGCATATACGACTACTTCTTATATCATGGTCATTTGTGCATATGCTTTGAACTTCTCGACATGAATCTGTAAGTTGTATGACTGAAGTATTCTTCTTCTTCTATCTTTTTATGTGTTTATCCTCTGATTTCCTTCATGCAAACTGTATAAAGTGTTTGTTGATGACAATTGCATTGTCCTTCGTAATTTATGGTTCTCAGGTATGAGCTCATAAAGATTAATCAATTTAGAGGCCTATCATTAAGCATAGTCAAACTCTTCTCTAAGCAGGTATTTATATTTTCTAGATCTATGTTTGCTTTGTTTTTTTTCTCATTCTCTTAATCTACAGTATCAACTGTTTTCGTATGGTGTCCCATAGATCTTACTTGGTTTGGCTCTTTTGAAAGATGCTGGCATAATCCATTGTGATCTGAAACCAGAGAATATTCTTCTGTGTGCCAGGTCTACTTTCTAACACCAATCCTATACAAAATTTAATTAAAAACTTTATTTAACTTGTGTTTTATTTTTATTTTTGAATTGTATCAGTGCGAAGCCAACTGAAATTAAGATAATTGACTTTGGATCAGCGTGCATGGAAGATAAAACTGTTTATTCATATATTCAGGTTTTCTTCTTGCTTTCTGTTTATCTGTCTATTATATTATGTCATACCAAACAAATAATTAAGCTTGCTGGTCAATCTTTCTACAGAGTCGTTACTACAGATCGCCGGAAGTCTTACTTGGTTACCAGTATCCTTTTGAGGTCCAAGTTGATAACCGTTTTCCCGCCCAAATTAATATGTTTTCTCATAGTCTTTGGCACTGAAATGTCTCATGTCAATGGACATAGACTTGTTTTAGCACTATGATCATGTGACTCTTATTGATCTATTTGGCCAACTTGCGTTAACTTTGTCGATATAGCTCCAGCAAATTGTTACTTTCCTATCCACATCAACTTGACTGCAAACTAAACTTCGTTGCTATTTTGTTCCTATGGTATATGATATCTAAAAGTATCTTGAAGTCGTATTTGGAGGCTTAACCACTATATAGATACACTACAGCTATTGACATGTGGTCTTTTGGCTGCATCGTTGCCGAGCTGTTTCTTGGATTGCCACTATTTCCAGGAGGGTCAGAATTTGATATCTTGAGGCGTATGATTGAAATACTAGGGTATGATCCTTTGTTATGGAATTGTGATTTGTCGTCTATAATCTTAGGGGTCAGGGAATATTTGGGGTCTGCACCATTGCTGGTCAATCCTCGTTCTCGTGCGTTTTTTGTTTCATATATTGTTCTCTTATATATTGGGTTTAGCCTATTGTTTGTGCTTTATGGTCATTCTTTCATTGCCCTTTGTCTTCAGCAACCCCCTATTTTAGCTTCTCAACGTTTGTGTATGACGTCCTCACTTCTATTTAAGCAACAAGTGTCGAGATTTCTAGCAACGAGGAGCTTTTCTTATTTTCTTTCTTGCCTTTTTGTTTTCTCTTATGATTCTATCAATTTTCTGTCAAATATTTTTCCAGCAAACAACCACCTGATTATGTGCTCAAGGAAGCAAAAAGTACGAGTAAGTTCTTTAAATGTGTTGGGAGTGTCCACAATTTAGGGAATGGTGGAACTTATGGTGGCTTCAAAAGTGCTTATATGGCACTGACTGAAGAAGAGTTTGAAGCCGTAAGTAATTCTTGCTTTACCTTTCAGCTAAACAAAAATATAAAGAGAGTGAGTATTGAAAACCAGGATGACAAGTATATTAGTGGATAAAGAAGATTTAGATTGTAGATTGTTTGATGAGGGGATAAATTTTCTTCTTACATTGTCATTAAGATTTGCCGTTATCGATTTTTTGTATGAATAACTCATGCTGTTCTTTACTTTTGACTTTCCAGAGAGAAAAGAAAAAACCAGAAATTGGGAAAGAGTACTTCAACCATAAGAACCTTGAAGAAATTGTTAAAGGCTATCCTTACAAGATAAATTTGCCTGAGGACGATGTAGTCAAAGGTAAAGTCAGGTTGCTCTGATGTTCTTAACTTTGCTTTGATAATCACTGGACTATCTTCCATGGTGACTGTTTTTTTTTTTTTTTTTTTTAATGACCTATCACAGAAACTCAAATCCGGTTAGCTCTTATTGATTTTCTGAGAGGACTTGTTGAATTTGATCCAGCAAAACGTTGGTCACCTTCTCAGGTATTGAACTTCCTGGCTTAAGTCATCTATATATTTGATTTTGTAGGTTCTGTTTTTTTGTTAGCCCTAATGGATTAACATCGACTTTTCATTTTTTTAAGGCAGCTAAGCACCCTTTCATTACTGGGGAACCTTTTACCTGCCCATACAACCCTCCGCCAGAAACTCCTCGTGTGGTGAGTCAGATGGAATCCCTTCCCAGGTCTCAAAATTCTTTTGTGGTCTTATTGTCGTACCAATGGTGTTCATAGCAGTCGGTGCATTGTCCTTGATTCATGTTTGTTTCCTGATGACAAGTTTTATTTCACAATTTTCCAAACCAAATAATCATGATTCATGAGATGGATTGAAGATACTTTTCCTTCTAGCACAGCCTTCCGATGTTTCAACTTTTTCTGTTGTGGATTAAAATGCTTCAGTTAAAAGATCTTGCATAAATGATCTTTCTTGCAGAGTGACGTTTGAAACATTCCTCTATTCACTGAATCGGTTTTTGTTCCCTTTCCCTTTTCTTTGTAGCATGTTACCCAAAACATCAAAGTGGACCATCATCCAGGTGGAGGGCACTGGTTTGCCGCTGGTCTCTCTCCTAATGTATGGCTCTTTGTCTCTTCGAAATATTTGTAAGACCTTGAAGTTGTTTGTGCACCTATTTGTGAAACTTATTTACGTCTTTGACAGGTATCAGGGAGAACCAGAATCCCGATGCACAATAGTCCCCATTTTCAGATGATACCTTACTCACATGCAAATAGTTATGGGAGCATAGGAAGCTATGGTAGCTACAATGATGGTAATATACAGGAAAGTAGTTATGGAAGCTATGGAGGGACTGGCAATATGTTTGCATACTACTCTCCTGTGAATCATCCGGGCCTATACATGCAAAACAACAGTGGGGTCTCAATGCTTGGAACTAGCCCTGATGCCAGACGTCGGGTTATGCAGTACCCACATGGATATGGGCCAAATGGCCTTGGTACAAGTCCATCTGCTGGAAATTTTGCACCACTACCCCTTGGCACTAGTCCGTCGCAATTTACTCCGAATACAAACAATCAATTTTTAGCTGGGTCTCCTGGACACCATGGCCCGACATCTCCGGTAAGAAACAGCAGTCATGGATCTCCTCTAGGAAAGATGGCTGCATTTAGTCAAATTAATAGAAGAATGAGCGCTGGATATTCTGGAGGTTCTCAGTCGCAAGATCCTTCCTTGTCACAAGCGCAAGGGCATGGGATGGATAATTTTTATCAAAATGAGGGATATTCTGGACAATTCTCTGGTTCACCTTCGCGCCGGCAATTGGATTCAGGTGGCAAAAATCGTAAACAGACACAAGGAGGCACTACATTAAGTACTGGGTACTCTACTCATAACAATTCCAACTCATCACTTCGGTCCAATATGTCTAACCCTTCCAGTACTGCACACCATCTTGAAAATCCGGATACTGCCTTATCCGTACCTGATCCAGGAGACTGGGACCCAAATTACAGGCAAGTAAACAAGATATATCTTTAATTTACAGGTTATGGAATGTCAAGGTTCTTTGTATGCGTGTATATGTTGTGTACTTGGATAAATCTGGCTGGTTTATCTAGAGTGAGTGATATTGTGCTCCTGTATTGTCGTCATTTCCAAACACTTCAGACTAGGCATGTCACAGCCCATGATCTCTGATCATATTCTTGTTAACTGGTAGTTAAGTTTTATACTTGATAGACAAATTTGCTTGCTGAAACTGTATCAAAATCGACCAGTAGAGCGACATTGAACCAATCACGTTAGTGTCAGTTTAAATGGGCAAGTCTTTTGTTACCTGATGTTATTCTCTGTCTTTTTTTTTATAAACTTCCAGTTTTACATGGTATTTAACCACTTTTCATTCTGGCTATTTACAGTTGCATACGATACTTTTTGTATGAAATTCTATTTTCAGGTTAACATGTTTTCCCCAGTCCTATAATTGGACGTTCTAATATGCGCAATTTTGTTACATGTACAGTGATGACTTGCTTCTAGAAGAAGATAGTGCGGATGAGAGTTCTCTTGCTAATGCATTCAGCAGAGGTATGCAACTTGGTTCAACAGATGCCTCCAGTTATTCCAGAAGGTTCAACAGTAATGCCTCTACCTCATCCTCAAATCCGACTACCCAAAGGTAACCGAGAACACGTCTTAGGGAAACTATGCTGAATCTATTTTTCTTTTGATGTCGAATGCTACTTTGGTGATATTTCGATCTTACATCTTCCATGGATATATTAACTTACCATGAAAAACTGTGAAATTCAGAACTATGTTAAATTTGGACCAGGGGTTCCCGACTAGAATATGGGAACGCAGAAAGGTCCATATTTGATGTTGATACCTCCTGTATATGTGATATTAACTATGTGCATATAGTTCTCTTCATAGGACTTCTATTCTATTAGAAAAGGTTGCTCTGTACTACAGGTAGTCCCTTGACAATATCAATAAATCAAATGTATGAACTGTAAGTAGTACAAGACTAGTTCTTGTCCAGTAGGAAGCAATTAGGAAGAGTAAAACACTACTTTATATTTTATTGTCCAGTAGATAGGTAGCTGAACGTGTGACGTTCCAGACATGATGTATTGTTTATCCTCTGAACATCCTCTGATACTTCTGCAACCCTTTTATCGTTACTTTTTCTCTCTTGATGTAACTTTGAATCAATATCAGGAGATATGCTCCCAATCAAGGCTTTTCACAAGTAGAGACTGGCAGCCCTCCAAGTAATGATCCTCATGCCAGATTTGGCCAACATATTCCAGGATCGCAATTTATTCCTCATGTCTCCCAGAACTCTCCAAGTCGCTTAGGGCAGCAACCTCCTCAACGGTTCAATCATGGGAGACCAAATGCTGGAAGAACTATGGATCGGAATCACATCAACGCTCAGCTTCCTCCTTCCAACACGAATTCTGGGGGTCAACAACGCTCACCCAGAAGTAGCTCATATACCAATGGTGTCCCTTGGGGTACTTTCTTTTGCTCATTGCTTTCTCTAGAACATTTTTTCTTGTTTACGTCCACTGGTTGGTTGTGTTAGACTGGAACTTAAGTTGTGTTTCATCTTGCAGGACGTAGGACTAACAATCATGTCCCGAATGTTCCATCGACGTCCCATGGAAGGGTAGACTACGGAAGTATTGCTTAATTCCGCAGTTTTATCTCTCATTTATTTTGTTCTTTCCCTTGGTGTGCAATCTTCTTGTTGGAAGTGTGGGAACAAAGTTGTACTGAGACAAGAAACAAACTTAGTTCATGGCTTGTGGGCTTCTGATCAGAACGTGCTTATTCATTGTGCTTTTTGCACAAATAAACCAAAAAAAAAAAAAGTATGTTATCATTGATATTGTTATATCTTTCTGGCATCTATCTCTCGGAATTTCTTATTGGTATTCTCTGTTGAATGTATCTTTTGGGAAAGTTGTTGAAGTGTTTACTCAGTAGCTTAGCCTTGAAAAAAGATCCTTAATTTCCGTAAATTTTATTTTTGTAGGTTATGTTGTTTATTAGCAGGCTCAAAATTGGTGTCGTTTCTTGTTTTATCTCTTAATTTCTCTACACCTTAGTGAATTATATTGCTTAGTTTGGACCGGTCAAATCCTTAGACGCTGATATCAATCTGAAAGCTTGTTCTCTGACGTAGATGAAGCTTCTAGGATCAATGGATCTCAAGCAAGATAATCGTAGTTCGGATTTCTTTGTTATCAAGTATCAATGGATCTCGAGAAACAAGAACTCAAAGACCTTGTTGAGAATACTCTTCTCAGTGCTTATCAAAAGTTCTTGAAATTTAGTAATCAAAAACAACCCAATACAATAGGAGACCTAAGAAAGTTATTTATTATAAAACCCTAAAATATAAAATATTCTAGAATAATGATAATTAATTAATTAAAGATAATAATAATAAAAGATTTATGGAAATATTTAGATATTTGGAAATATTCCAAATATCTCGCTGCATCATTCTCACAGTTCATGTTGGACAGATATTCTAAGGTGAGTGTTTGATGGAATTCTAAAATATGAGAGATTAGTTTGACAATTCAGATTTACCAAAATCAAAATCCACCAAACAAAACATTTACGCAAAACTCATAACTAACAACAACCCATGTTTAACTTGTTTTTTAGTCTCTTCCACATTACCATCACACCAATTCTCAGCCACAAAACCACAAACGGGATAGTGACAGACAGAGTGAGCGAGAAATCAGATGAATTGGATGTTGCACTTTGATGAAGCTCTAGCAAGAGTCATAAGATTGGCGCGCAAGTACTCACTGTTGTTGTCTTCTTCAACACCAATTTTCACAGTTTCAAGATATTTCAATTTTCCCAAGAAATGCTCCATTTGTTTCACCTCTCTATAACTTCCTCCATAGCCTGAAATCTCTAGCACTTTGACTCGACATGTCGATAAACAACACCTTCCCTCCACCTCAGAAGGAGGACTTCTATCTTCATAACGTTTATACAAGTACTTTTTCTTAGGCTTAATAGTGCAAGTGCATGCGCTTCCACATCTATAAGTTACTTTGTGCACAAGACCCTGAAAGCATAGCAAACTATTTGACATGTATAAATGTGCAAAAAATATTGTGTGCGCTAATTTGCCAAACACTTTGATATACCTTTATAGCTAGAGTTTGTAGATTTGGAGATTTCAAAAGCAGACGAGGCAATGCCTGCCAACCGTTTTCCTTGTCGCTCTCAATAGATAGATGAAGGAGTTTGTCGAAGACCGGCATGGTATAACAGCAGTAGTAAAACGCCTGATTCATAATCACAATCAGAAACCAGATATAGATAGAAATGAGACAATGGTAACTAGCAAGACTGACAGACCTCAAGAGAACCGGGAGAGAGGTGAAGGGTCTTGACATTTCTTATCGCCGCAACCAGATTTGTAATATCACCAAAATCACCTGTGGTAGGTAACTCCCACAATCGAAGATCCAGTCTAGCTTCGGCAAGCGAATCCAGATAATCAACATCAGAACCATCGGAGAGGAGAGCAGAATAGTCAAGAAACTCAAGATTCGGTGTCTTGATCTCAACATCGTCTTCATAAGGATATGTGTCAAGAGGATAGTGGAAATAAATCGTGAGTCGCTTGATGGATGCACTAACCACAGATCTCGTCCAAGTTGGCTGGTCATCATCACCGTCACCAACATCACGTATTAATAATTCCTCGAGCACAGGACATCCAGAGATGAGCCAATTATAGAGAGCAGGATCAGCCACAACAGCACCGAGGGAAAGTGTCTTGAGCGCAGGGAAAAACACTGTGCCATCAGGTGGAAAATTCCCTTGAACAAAAGTTCGAAAACTAGATAGTGTGAGTTTAACCAATGTATTATTGCGCGAGAAGATCCCTATATCCAGAGAATGAGCATATTGGGACTGCAAGTTTAGTTCCAAGCAGCCGCGTTCGAGAGCACTGCGAATCCAATGGTCAACACTAGATTGTTCATAGTGGCAATTGAGAGTGAGTCTCTTGATGGGACAGTTGCTTAGCAGAGCAACCGTTTTCTCCATGAAATCAGAGAAGCCATCATTTCTGAGAGATGTTGAGTCTTCCAAATCAAAGTTGTCTACAAAATGGAACAGATTCCTCCATCTCTTGGACAGAACAGATGTGGATACAACGAGTTTTGTCGGAAGTAAAGACAAGATTTTTTTGCCAAGAACCTCATCCGGCAAACTGCTGAAGAAATCTCTAGAGCCCATAAAGACTTTTTTCCGCCTGCAAATCAAACACAAGTTATGAACTTTCTTCCGCATACACAATAGATGAAAAGAAATGAACAAAAAAATGTAAACTTTCCGTTGGAAATTCTCAGCATTTCGATACCGTTCAAAGAAAACATCGTTTCTCTCTTAAAAAAGAGCCAAATTTCGATTACACATGTAGAAAGATCTATCAACAGATGTGATTAATATTATCTATAGCTAAAAAAGAAAAGGGACAATTAGGTTCAATTGATTACTCTAAGTTTGATTATGAGTCAAGATCGACACAAACCTTGGCAAATTGAAAGCAGACGCGAGGGATGTGAAAGCACGATTGGTCTAACAGCAAGTTCCAAGCATCACGAACAAGAAGAAAAGAAAAGTGATGTTTTTTTTTTCTTTCTTTTTTTTTTTTTTTAACAAAAAGACAAAGATTTGGGTTTACCAAATGCTAAAACCTTTCCTTTGCTCAAAACAGTGATCTGAATACCCAAGCCTAGTCCTAGGTACTTAAGCAACGTTTCGTTTTAGGGTAATTTTCAATTTCTAATAAAATTTAATTTTCATATATATAAATATTAAATATTTAATCAATCGCCAAATCTATCCCCGCTCTGGATAAATTAACCGAGCCAAATGTATCGAAGTAGAACCGAAGCAAAAAAAACCAGAACAGAAACGGTACCAAATCGAAATATTTCGGATATCAGAAATACAATTATATATATATATATATATATAAATATTAGTTATTTATTAACCGAATAATCAAATATACCTAAAAATATATTAAAATACTAAAAATACTCGAAAATAACCGAAAAATAACTGAATACCCAAAAATAACCGAAATATCTGAATGGATACTAAATTTTTAAACCGAAACCGAACCGAAATTCAAAATACCCGAATGGATACTAAACTCTAGAACCAAAACCGAATGGAATCGAACCAAAATCGATCGGATAACCGAATGCTCAGGACTACCCCCGCCTAATTGTACAAATTTTAAGAAAATCGAAGCGGTTTAGGAGCGTCTAGCGCCTAGGCGACGCCTAAACGGCCGCCTAACCCGCTTTCTTGAACACTTTTAGATATACGAAAATGATAAATTTACAAGATTTAAAGCTAAAATAGCAAAATCTATAAATGTCACTAAAAATCTATATCTGGCAATTGATTTTTAAAAAAGTATGTTATCATTGATATTGTTATATCTTTCTGGCATCTATCTCTCGGAATTTCTTATTGGTATTCTCTGATGAATGTATCTTCTGGGAAAGTTGTTGAAGTGTTGACTCAGTAACCTAGCCTTGAAAAAAAGATCCTTAATGTCCGTAAATTTTATTTTTGTAGGTTATGTAGTTTAGCAGGCTGAAATTGGTCTCGTTTCTTGTTTTATTTCCTTATTTTTTCTAACACCTTAGTGAATAATATGTTGGTTAGTTTGGAATAAAATGTGTAGAAGCAAAAGGGATGTGACGTTGGATTTAGGTCAATTGAAGATTTCAACACAGCATTATATGGACTACATTTTCGGCTACTCCAGGCTCACACATTGAAGCTGAAGTGATCCCCAAAGTTAAATTATTTCATGTGGCAAGTTATTACTACATGGTGTTTATCTGTAAACACAAAGAAATAAACTAGGCCTGGGTATTCATGTATCGGTTCGGGTATTTCGTATTTCGAGTTTTCGGCACTAGGGGGTTGAGATAATTTTGAATTTTCAATTCGTGTTTGGTTTGATACCTTTCGGGTTCGGGACGGTTTGGATAGTTGATTCGAGAACAGGTCTAGAATCGATATGTTTTGGATATTGTTCGGTTCAAGTACTTTTTAATCTATCCAAATTACCAAAATATCTGAAAAACCTTAATTTAATTGAATGAAAAGGGTAGAATGAGGGAATAAATTAAAATCGGTTCGGGTGACTTTGTTGTATACAAATATACCCAAATTACCCAAAAATAGCCTAAATATCCTATAAAACCGACAAATATATGCTTGATCTCTCAAGCCTTGATCTCTTGAAAAAATATACACACCTTGATCTCTCAAGCCTCATTTTACTCGATCAAGCTCGACATAATCATATGCGCTAAGGGGGAGTTATATTCTCATGAAAAGATAGATTCGAGATTATGCGTATGTGTGGGCGAAGTTGGCAAAATCACACAACAAGAAATTTTTGTGAATTTTGAGATTGTGATCTGGATTGTTATGTTTGAAAGTCTAGACATCAGTAAGATTTTGCCTACTCCACTCATACCAAACACACCTTTAATCTAGAATCCTTCTCTGGTGGAGTTCGAATCTGAGATAGCCTTTTTGTTACCTTCATGCAGTTTCACGTAACCCTATGAACTCTGAATTTGTATGTTTGTCTCCATTATTATTATTATTATTATTATTTTTTTTTTTTGTATGAATGTAAAATTTATTCACCAAAAAAAGACTGTTTTACAATAAATGCAACGTTAATCTGAAAATTCAAAACAATTGAGGAAGAAATTACAACATGAAAGAATCATCCACGTCAATGGGTACTAAACCAATATCGCAGCCCGCCTTCGAAAACGGGTGATCCAGTCAAAACCAAGGTACTTAGCCTGTTTCTCATACTCTTGTCAATCACTTTTGTTAACTGCGAGGCCGGTGTTTGTCTCCATTAATTTACAACTTTCTCTTTCTTTTAGTTACATTTTATCTATATGAACTTTATCTCTCTATCTCTTTTCTTTCATGTTTTCTTAATTATTGTTTTAAGTTTTTAGAAAACTGGTTTAGTAAAATGAGCAACGTAAATACTTAAAGCTGAACATTGCTTAATGGTAAAAAATAAAAATAAAAAACATTGCTTAATGGTAAAATATCTAAGATGAATTGAATTCATTATTATTACTTCACCACATTCACAACAATCCCAAATTTTTGTTTCTTATACTTCCATATTTTGATTACTACTTCTCAGAGATTGTTTTTGGTAATTAAATTTTTCTAGGGTTCCTCCAATTCTGCCGCTTGATTTATGATTTATCTATCCATGATCGGATTTTGAAAGAACCACCGATCAAAAAAATCCTTATTTCAAAGTCTCTGTCTTGTATTAATTTGTGTCCGTTGTTGTTGTAATCTAGAGAAAGAGAGTGAGGCAATAAAAAAGCTATGGATTTTGATTTGAACGGAGGAAACAAACGAGTCTTCAACAAACTCGGCGGCGGCGGGTCAACTCGTACGACGGCACCAACGGTTACAAGGCAACGGATTTATTTTATTTTTCCTCGATCTAGGCAGTGACAGGATTTGTAGTGATAGTTTACTGTGAATTTTGGTTAGAATGTTATCATATTAGGAAGAGATGAGGTGATGAAAAAAAAAACGAAGATATGAGCTTTTGTCAAAAAAAACCCGTGGGTACCCATAACCCAACAAGATAAACCCGTAAAAGACTCTCTTCATTCGGGTACCCAGACCGGTTTAAGCCCGCGTTTTTTTTACATAGAAAGTAGATCTTTGGGCTTTTTATTTAACATGGGTTTTGGGTACCCACCGGGCTAAAGCCCACTTTTAACATCCCTAATGAATTCTTTTATTTGGTCTATGCTAATGTGACTTGTTTATGTGAGTTAGTTGTCTCTCAATGGAGCAAATGGAGGGTTATGAGTGATTGAGTGTTAAAGATGAGCCATCAGCCAACCTTTATTACTCTTTTTGGAGATTTACTAAGGCTACTTGCAATTATTTCCCTGATTTGAATAGTCTCTATCGACTCGAGTCAAAAGCTGCGGACCGGCTTTGGAAGGTTAGATTTGAAATTACTTGCCTAATGTGAAGAGTATTTATAAGATTTTCATAATCTGAAAATGTTTTTGGATTATATGTTGTGCATTGCTTGTGAGTTCCTAATCCTAATTAAGTAATATATACCACCACACGATCGAATTCATACTTCAGTTCTTGGCTGGAAAATCAGATGCTTACTCATGACTTTCTTGTTTCAAATTCTTAATTATAGTTTTATTTTATTTTTTTTGGTCTATAAAGTCGGGGTGGATGATTCAAATCAAAGCTCCTTTATGTCATTACATTTGTTTTTTAGTTCTTCAAATTGAACTTGAATTTGCTTTGTCGTCGTTCCATTGTGAATTTCTCTTATAATTAAAGGATATATATAGCAAAGCGTAACCTTTGTTAATCTTACCATTTTAAAATACGATCTTAGCATCAATGATATGACAAAGAAAATGGTTTGCCGATTTAAATACATATATAAACAACTTGGACTCATTCAACAAATTACAAATAAACTTCAAGTTAGGGAATAATTTGTTTCTTTGGCTAAATGACTTTTGAATATGATAAGCTTTCTTGATCGGAAAATGAAGTGCAAGAATCCAAGATAGGTGGTCGCTATATTACATATAAATATGATGCCACCATGCATAATGACGATACAATGCAAAACTTTTGACTCATTCAAACAATTTTTTTCCAGCAAATTCGAAGGTGGGGATTATCTTTTTCTTTTCTTCTACCTAATCTTTTCACATTTCATTTACTAATTTGTAGTTCTAGTTCCTTGTAGCGTTGGTAAAGCTTATCATATATTTTCTTCCTTTCTAAGCTTCTGGTTTTGGTCTGTGTAGCGATGGGAGGTTGTTTCTCTGTTTCGTTGCCATGTGATCAAGTAGTGAATCAGTTCTCTCAGTGGTTATGTGTCAGGGGGAGTTATATTCACAACCTCTCCGAGAATCTAGATGCTCTGCAGAAAGCCATGACACTTCTCAAGGCTAAGCGAGATGATGTGCAAGGAAGGGTAGACATGGAAGAGTTTACAGGGCGTCGCCGAAGGCTTTTCCAAATCCAGGTATGGCTTACCAATGTTCTGACTTCCGAGAACCAAGTCAATGATCTGCTTAGCACTAATACTGTTGAGCTTCAAAGGTTGTGTCTTTGTGGATTTTGCTCTAAAAATGTAAAACTGAGCTATATTTATGGGAAAAGGGTTGTTCTGATGTTAAGGGAGGTTGAGAGTCTTAATTCTCAAGGAGAATTTGATGTGGTAACTGAGGCAACTCCGATAGCCGAGGTTGAAGAGCTGCCTATTCAACCCACAATTGTTGGTCAGGAAACAATGCTCGAAAGGGTATGGAACCATCTCATGGAAGACAAAGTTGGGACAGTGGGTTTGTATGGTATGGGTGGAGTAGGCAAAACCACCCTTCTTACGCAGATCAACAATAAGTTTTCTCAAATAGGTGGCGGATTTGAGATCGTAATATGGGTTGTGGTGTCTAAAAATGCAACAATCCATAAGATTCAAGGAGGCATCGGGGAAAAAGTAGGCCTCGATGGGAAGGAATGGCATGAAAAATCTGAAAACCAAAGAGCCCTTGACATACACAATGTTCTTAGGAGGAAGAAGTTTGTGTTGTTATTGGATGACATATGGGAGAAAGTGAACTTCAATGTGATTGGAGTCCCATATCCAAGCAGAGAAAACGGATGCAAAGTAGCATTTACCACCCGCTCTCGAGATGTGTGTAGGCGCATGGGGGTTAATGACCCAATAGAAGTCAGTTGTCTTGATACCCAAAAAGCATGGGATTTGTTCAGAGAGAAAGTAGGGGAAACCACACTTGGAAGCCACCCAGACATTCCTGAACTCGCAAAAAAACTCGTTGGTAAATGTCGTGGCCTACCATTGGCACTCAATGTCATCGGCGAAACTATGGCGTGCAAAAGCACCATACAAGAGTGGCGTCGGGCAATTGATGTTTTGACTTCATCTGCCTCAGATTTTTTAGGTGTGGAAGACGAGATTCTTCCCATTTTGAAGTATAGTTATGATAGTTTAAAATATGAGCAGGTGAAATCATGTTTCCTCTATTGCTCTCTCTTTATTGAAGATTATCTTTTTGATAAAGAGAGATTGATAGAGTATTGGATAGGTGAAGGATTCATAGATGAGAAGGAAGGTAGAGATAAGGCATTAAACCAAGGTTATGAGATAATTGGTATCCTTGTTCGTGCATGTTTGTTGCTAGAGGATGGTGAATCTTATGTGAAAATGCATGACGTGGTTCGTGAGATGGCTCTATGGATATCATCTGATCTTGGGAGAAATAAAGAAAAGTGTATCGTGCGAGCAGGTCTTGGGTTATGTGAGGTACCAAAAATGAAGAACGGGAAGAATGTGAGTAGAATGTCGTTGATGGAAAATGACATTGAAAAGCTATCTGAGAGCCTCAACTGTCCTGAACTTATAACTCTCCTCCTTCATAAAAACAAAAACTTAAGAACCATCTCAAGTGAGTTCTTTCGGTGTATGCCTAGGCTACTCGTTTTGGATTTATCGTGGAACGGCAGTCTCAATCGATTACCAGATCAAATATCAGGGTTGGTTTCTCTGAGATATCTTGACCTGTCATGGACAAGGATAAAGCGACTACCTATTGGTTTACAAGAGTTGAAAATGTTAATACATCTGAGCTTGGAATACACGACCGAACTTGAGAGTTTAGACGGGATATCAAATTTGTCGAGTTTGAGGATATTGAGACTTCAAGAATCCAACGTGTGGCTAGATATGAGCCTAATGAAAGAGTTGCAGCTCTTAGAGCATCTAGAATTCATAAGCGCAAATATCTCATCAAGTTTGGTTGGAGAATTGGTATATGATCCCAGAGTAGGGAAATGCACTCAACACATTTCTATTAGGGAGCGTCCGGGAGAATCAATAAGAGTATTAGTTTTGCCAGCTACAACTAATCTTTGTGGTATCAACATAGGGAATTGTGGAATGTGGGAGATAAATATAGAGAAGACACCATGGAACAACAATCAAATATGTCCATGCTTCTCAAACCTCACTTATGTGGTAATAGACGACTGTGATTGGTTAAGGGATTTGACGTGGCTGATGTTCGCTCCAAACCTTATTAATCTTCGCGTTGGGTTGTTAAAGCAACTAGAGGATATAATAAGCAAAGAAAAAGCTGCAAACGCTTTAGAAAAGGATAAATGTAATGTTCTTCCTTTCCAGAAACTAGAATACTTGAGCTTCCATTATTTGCCTGAGCTGAAGAGTATCTACTGGCAAGCTCTGCCTTTTCATCGTCTGAGATCTCTCTACATAGACAATTGTCCAAAGCTTAGAAGGCTTCCATTGGATTCTAAAAGCGTCTTCAACGTTGACGAATTTGCCATAGAATATAGAGGGGAAGAATGGATACAAGGGATTGAATGGGAAGACGAAGCCACACGACACCGTTTCTTAGCTTCATGTAAGTTCTATCAGATGTATGGGTAGCCGCATCCCCTTATGACCCAACCAATGGACTCTGCTTAGCAAAGTAAGTACAATATCCTCATTTCGCAAAATATATGTATATCTCTTGCATTGTTGTCGTGAGAGCAAACATTAAATAGTTAGTGTAAATTCTTATGTTAGTCTATTTTGCTAATCAAATTCTCTTAAACCAAATATAAAAAATGGTGAAAATCCTACTTTTTGTTTTGATAAAATTTGTTGCATTAAAGAAAGAAACTTAGAAGATATGACTCGTCATATTGAAATAGGGTCTTGTTCAAGTCTACAAAAGTAGGGGATATAGAGAGATGATGCACACAAGTATGAACCACCCTTAAAAAAAAACTTAAGGAAGTCAAGTTGATACACACAAAAGAAACGATCATGGCGCAGTTCCAAAGAAGAGTGTTGAAGCTATACAACAATACGATCAAAAGACTTTATTTTATTCCAATAACAGACATTAGAAAGGAAAGCCCCTCACTGACTTTTGCAATATCTTGATTCTCATTCTCCAACATCCATGTCGGCAATTCCACACCCGTAAACATGTAAAGCGCCTTCAGTTCTTCTGAATATGCCATGCTCCTCGCAACATTGTATCCAACTACCTTCCTTAATGCCTCAATCTTTGTCCATATCTGCTCCTCGTTATACAACACCTTCACCTTCAAACCCAAAATTACAATTTAAGTAGCCAAACAAGAAAACCCCCTTTGAGAGGGATTTGGAATCAAACAATTCAATGTATGATCACAATTGACATGTTGGGAAAGAAAAGAAGGGAGAACAAGACAAGCTCGTTGTACAACAGAACATATTGTATATAATACGATTACAATAAGAGTTAGTTAAATATATCCACAAGCTTCTTGAACATGTACTATGTTATGCTAATGCCCACAAAGTACTTATGGTTCAACTTTGACACAGTTAATTAAATAGCACAGTTCTTTGAGCTATTCATTGGAACTAGAGATGCAAATCAAAGTGAAAAAAATATCGATTCATCATGAGAGACAGATATATGAGTTCAAGAAGCTCAGCTATTACATGGATGCCAAGGACTCTAATAAAACTCTGTTCAAAACATGCAACACATATCCATACGAGTAGATTCTATAGAACTGACACCCTACCTAAACACCACACTTTGAGCGATGGATGAAAAATTGTCGTTTCTATTCTTAAAATCATGTTGATATATATGTAAAAAAATGATTTTACGCTTTCTATGAACCAAAACATGACATTAAATATGGTGAGCAAACCCGGTTACCTGGACATTAAGGCGTGTGTCAGATTCTCGTCTAGCTAAGACAGCCTACCAAAACACCTTCTTTAAGTGACTGAATAATGAAATATCTGTCCTTTCTATTCTTATAATCATATTGATATATATGTAAACAAATGACTATATGTTTGTCTTCAGCGGTTCCATGTGCCACATTCACATCTTTCTATAATGATTGATTCGTACGTCAAGACATTAGAGTGGTTAAGGAAGGTCTCATTTCATTAACCACTTAACCAAAATCTATGTTGTTCTCCTTTAAAGACCTCATCAATACTGATAGCATTTCGTCTAAGCTCTCTACCTTATAGGACTCGTGATCCTACCATCAACCTAGCCTTTGACTGTGAATTTTACCCACTTATATATAGTGTGCACACTCTAACAACCACTGGCCTCGAGCAACATATAATAATATCAAATCAACCCTCAAAAAACTATATCAAGAGTGCGAAATAAACAACCGTATATTTGGTTTGCTTGAAATCATAACATCATCAAACCAAACAAAAATCTTCTCAGTAGAGAATTGACCCATAAAGACCCCTTACAATATCCTATTAAAGATCCGTAGACATTAATATAAAAGAAGGTACAAACTTGGTACTGGCCGAAAGGTTACTCGCGAACATATGGGCATCAAAAGCAGCATGCAAATCGAAACAAAGGAAATCCACATAACATGACAAGTTCAACACAAACGGGCCGAAAATAACTTGAGTACATCGAAACTAGAATGAAACATGGAAGCACAATCTGATTCCATTCAGTTCACCCGTGAAATGGATGTGATGCTAAGTTGTCATTCAACAATGAAACCATAGGACGAAAGGAAAATATACTAACCGGAGTTGAAGAATTTTCCATATCCTTCCCTCTAGCTGCTTTAGTTGAAGTGGACTCAAGTTCCCCTGCCAAAAAAAAAAAGAAAGAGATTGAAGACTCATAAGCTAGTTTCAAGCAATTCAACATTAATAAAACCTTCACTTATGCATATAACCACCTTCATGTCTAGTCCCAGATACTTGCTTATTTCCTAACAGATCTTCAAGCCGTGGTCTAATCTTCTCTGACTTAGCATCTCTAAGAACTATCGACTGATCTTTATCCTCCTCTTCAAATCCTTTTTCCAAGACTCCTCTATCAAGTGATTGATTATTTTTACCCTCATCTCTAATACTCTCTAACCAGCTCTTTAACTCTTTTGTCATATCCTCATCTTCCCTATAAGCTATTGCAATAGTCCTCTCTTTCTCAATCTGAACAAGAATCGGCTCACTTATAGCCGCCCGTGCTATGCCCTCATTATAAATATCACCGTGACCGGTCTTGTTGGGGAGTAGCATCATTTTATGATCACTTCTTCCACCAAAGGCATTAGCAGGAAGCAGTTTTCTCATCAACTTTTCAGTACAAACATAGCTCGCCAAGAAAAAACAATAAGGAAGTGACGAAATCAACGCGATTGTGGAGGCAACAATGAGTGCTGGAACGAGGAACGGTGCAGAAAACACTAGAAAACATGCTGCAAGAACCTTCTTTCCCACACTAACTCCTTTCCTCCAAATCCAACTCATCTTCCCATCCACTCTTGTGCCTTCTTCCATCCGATCACACTGCTTAAATTATTAACATACCCATAATTTCAGTTGTATATACAAACATGTTTTTAGAGAAGCCATAAGCCAAAAAAATTCCAAGTTTCTCATTAGAATCTGCTACATTTCCGGTAAAAGCTATCTTGATCACAATCATTAGACTAAACCAGTGAGGATTGACTCATCAAAACATTTAACTAAGAATTTTTTTTATATAGTTAAAAACACAATTAAAGTAACGAGCATGCAAATTCATCAAGTTCCAGAAAATGTAGACTCAAACCTGATTAGGCGATCAAAACGAGGGTAACCAAAGATGGCATCGGAAGAGAAACATCAAAAGAAGTTGCAAAACTTCTCGGAAAACAAGAGACACAGAGGGACACGTGTCGAGATTTGGACAGCACAACAGAAGATGTCATGGTTCTCTAACGTGTTTCTTCTTCTCTATCTCCACTTGTTTTCTCACTTTCTCGAACTATATGACGCATTTAATGGTCGGTTGTGCAACTTTGAGTAAATGCAGATTGAAGATAAAGATCCTATTATTTCTCAGAAAAAAATATATATATACACTATAATTTAGGGAACTAAAATTTGATAAATAAATAAATCTCTCACCGTTATCTGTCACAAGACCCAAAACAATTGACATTAATCTACCGACGAGACCGGTCACAGTTTTGGGAGATGAGTTTTTTTTTTCTTTTACGTTAGATGATATGTAACAAACAATATATAGTTTTTTTGGGAAATGACTTGTAATCATATATATGAAAGTTGACAAGTTTTCTCCATATAAACGACACGTCATCATCAATCATCTGCCACGTGTCTACTAAATAATTAATGTAACTTTTACATTTATTATTAATTATCTATATTTAATTATACAATTACTAATTTTATTTTTATTATTATATGTTTTTTCTCAATCAAATTAATTTATAACTTTTTCATACTCATTTGGGGTTTCTTCGCTAATGTGTGGTAGTCTTAACTTAAAATATGAGAAGATAATAGTATAGTGAGTTAAGTAATGGTTTGAGTATGTTATTCTCGTTAATCTCTATCTAAATAATATAATACAAACGGTAAGGAATACATAAGAGGAGCTTCATCATAAAAATTTTGAGATTTATATAATCCCAACACTACCATCTATATAAAATTGAGTTACAACGTAATTGTTTCAGGATTGTGTGAATGATACATTGTTAAGATTCTTGAGAAGGTTGCTAGAAAAAAATACTTTGACACTAAAAGTAGTTGATGATTGCATGAGTGAATGATTAGAAAATTAAAAATTATATTTATTAGAACATGATATTAAATAAAACAAAATAAAAAGACGGAAAAAAATGATGTAAGGTCTTGTTTTCCGTGATTCCGTTTATAAAGCATACACTAGTTGACTGGGCCGTTATTTTCATTGCGCGACCTTACATTTTTGAAAGATAACGCAATTGTAATTAATTTTTTTTTGTTGCTAAAATGTAATTGTAATACTTTATCCTGTGATTTTATTATTAGTTTTGAAATGTAAATACAAATTTAACATTTGCGTTGGATACTTGGATAATCCCCTATATATTAATAGAGAAACATTTTTTAAAAAAAACCTTACCATTATGTGTTATTAACAAGATTGCCACGCTGATGTGTCGCTCTCACAATGATTTGGTTTCTATTTAGATAATTACCCAAGATTTATTAGACTATTTACAGAATTTGCCATTAGTCTCATACATCCATATATCCCATTAATAATTAAAAACATACACTTTTTGTTTATCTTATATTACTATATTTTTATATTTATATTTTTTTATATACATTTATATAAATTTTCTTTAGAGGATGGGTAAACAATATTTTTATTTATATTTATATTTATGTTTATATTTAAATAATAAAATATATACATTTGGTTCAAGAATCTCGAATTCAAAACTACAAAATCTTTACATCTTTCATAAATTTTTTACTTAGATAAATAAGATAATCTCCTTTCTATATATGTTACGAATACTTAAAATCCTATTTTTTGGAGGAATTCTAACTTTTCGAAGAAAAACATTATAACCACATTTGTATATAAACCAAAATCTGGCCACATTATAACCATTTCGTAAATAATCCATTCATAATCTAAGAATCGTAGATTTAGAACACTACAAAATCTCGAAATCTTTAAAACATACGGAAAGACATATTGCCATAAATGGTAACATTTCGTCAATACTTTTTTATAACGTTGAAGCTTTATTCAAGGTTCAAATATTTCACGGGTAAAACATATTCTTATATAAAATAGTCCCAAATTTGAATAAAACAAAAAAAAAATTGTAACATGTTTCGTTTTACACAAACGGGTCTTAGAGCCTGGATAATAATTTTAATCATAATAATTTTACTTGAATCACTTCATCCCGCACGATGTGCGGGTTGTTATCTAGTGTTTTAACATTTTGAGTTCTTAGAAACGATAAATGAATATATATCTTCAAGTGAGAATGTTTGTCTATTAAACAAGCATAGAATAGCATGTTATTTAAACACATAAGATGATATTCTATTAAACAAACAGTTCTTTTTTTTTATTTTTTGATATACCCGATCGGCTGATCCGGTCAGCCCTGGGGGAACGCACCGAAGTGCTACCATGTGGACTCACTACCACCCCGAATGATGGGCTACCACACTGCCTAACCCAAGTTTGGAATGCTTTCCGACTAATGCCCGGGGGTAGCTGGATCGCCTGTTACCAGACTACCAGGTAAACTGCCTGGGCCGAAGCCCAAGCCCAGACTTCCCACAAAGTGTTGATAACAGCGAGGGAGGAAGATCGAACCTGGGTTCGGGGATTTCACCCTCAACTCCAGACTCGCCCTACCACTAGCCCACCACCTTGCGGGCAACAAACAGTTCGATAGAGCATTTTATTATATATTCGTTTAGTAGAAGAATAGAATGTTGGAGGTACAAATAATACTGTTTAGTATAACAACACGTTTTTTACTTATAATCACACATCAAACTATAACGTATGCAAAATACAAAAAAATAAATAGATATAATTGTTTCATTGTTTTATTTATAGATATAAAATTTGTTTAGTAATAGACTAATAGGTGAGGGTAAATCTAGTTTTACGGAAAGAAAAGAAAAATGAGAGGGGTTTAAGATATTTCAAAATCCACTAGCTACAAAATGAAATAAGAAAGATAAACTTGAAGATGAGAGGAGGAGGCATGCATTTTCGTCAAACGGACATCCATTTTAATTAATTTTAAACTATTTTATGAATTAGTAACCATTCGTTCCACCTAATTTCTCTTATCTCTAATTGGTTTGGTCAAATGTGATTTTTGATTAGAGTATAATACAAAAAAATAACAAAGCTAGTTGGTTTAATCCAGTTAGATGTAAACTTATGTACATTTAGGACAGGCTTTTGTACGGTGGAAAATTATCAAAAGCATTTGTACGCAAAGTCAATCCCAAACTCACGTCACCTACGTCTATAAATCTTTGTCTACCCAACAAAAGAAAAGTAGAACAAGCGGAAAACAAAGAGAAAATTATGTACATGACAATCATATTCCTCTTCCTTAGCTCCATTCTTATTTCTCTCCTATTACTCCTTAGAAAGCATTTATCACACTTCTCATATCCAAACCTTCCTCCGGGAAAGACCGGTTTTCCATTAATCGGAGAGAGTTTATCCTTCCTCTCTGCTGGCCGTCAAGGCCATCCAGAGAAGTTCATAACCGACCGAGTTCGTCGTTTCTCTTCCTCATCATCCTCATGTGTCTTCAAGACCCACCTCTTTGGGTCTCCCACCGCGGTGGTGACTGGTGCCTCTGGGAACAAGTTTCTATTCACTAACGAGAACAAGCTTGTGGTCTCGTGGTGGCCAGATTCCGTTAATAAGATCTTCCCTTCTTCAATGCAGACGAGCTCTAAGGAAGAGGCCAAGAAGCTGAGAATGCTTCTTTCGCAGTTCATGAAGCCTGAGGCTTTAAAGAGGTATGTTGGTGTTATGGATGAGATTGCTCAAAGACATTTTGAGACCGAATGGACCAATCAAGATCAACTTATTGTCTTCCCTCTCACCAAAAAGTATATACTTTGATTCTCATCTTTTTAAACAAATTTAAATAGTTTTGTAAATGCAATAAAATGGGAAGAAAAATTAGAATTTCACAACATTATTTCATGACTAATAAAAAAATCTCAATAGGTTTACGTTTTCAATAGCATGCCGTTCATTTCTGAGCATGGACGAACCCGGAAGAGTAAGGAAACTAGAAGAGCAATTCAATACGGTAGCGGTAGGAGTTTTCTCAATCCCAATAGACTTGCCAGGAACACGGTTTAACCGGGCTATCAAGGCGTCGAGGTTACTCAGAAAAGAGGTTTCCGCGATTGTAAGGCAGAGGAAAGAAGAGCTGAAATCCGGGAAAGCATTAGAGGAACATGACATATTATCTCATATGTTGATGAATATAGGAGATACCAAAGACGAGGATTTGGCTGATAAGATTATTGGATTGTTAATCGGAGGACATGACACAGCCAGTATTGTATGCACTTTTGTTGTCAATTATCTTGCTGAATTCCCTCATGTCTACCAACGTGTGCTACAAGGTACTCGCTTCCCTCTCCCTCTTGTGTTATTTTTTTAAAATACATTAATATGTTTAGGTACAACACTTTTTCAATTAACTTGTACTTTCCTTCACGACAGCTTCCTCAATAGTAAAACTAGACATAACTTGTGACTCATTTTTTAGGATCCATATCTTATGACTTCTTTTTGTAAGAAACATTACATATTATAACTAAAAATGAACCGACAATGCATGTGACATATTGGCTTATATTTACCCGGATTTAAACCTGCATAGTGCATGTCGTTATTGATCCACATAATGCATGTTGGAGAAATTAAAAAGAAAAACTATGAAATAAATCTAAAATATTACCGGTATCATAGATGTGAGAAAACTAGCTAGCTTTGCTATTTTGTATTATTGGTGATTCGACGTTTATGAATCATAAATTATGATCAACTTCAAGTACTCGAAATATAAAACTTTATGTCGGCTGGTAGATTTTATGTCTTACTTTTAAGTTTACTGGAAAAAAATGTACTCACACAGTCACACTAAGGAATTGCAGAGCAAAAGGAGATACTAAATGAAAAGAAAGAAAAAGAAGGATTAAGGTGGGAGGACATTGAGAAAATGAGATATTCATGGAATGTTGCATGTGAAGTGATGAGAATTGTTCCTCCTCTTCCGGGCACTTTTCGTGAGGCCATCGATCACTTCTCTTTTAAGGGTTTTTACATCCCCAAAGGATGGAAGGTCAGGCTCTACTCCAAGCTCTTTAAATATATTGACATACATATGTAACATATCATGCTCATTAACTAATAATATATGTGCTGATCATAAACATAGTTATATTGGAGTGCCACCGCGACACATATGAATCCAGAATACTTCCCAGAACCAGCGAGATTTGAGCCAAAACGATTTGAAGGAAGTGGTCCGAAGGCTTATACATATGTTCCATTTGGAGGAGGACCAAGGATGTGTCCAGGGAGAGAGTATGCTCGTCTAGAAATTCTTATATTTATGCACAATCTTGTTCAGAGATTTAAGTGGGAAAAAGTATTTCCAAAAGAAAATAAAATAGTGGTTGATCCCTTACCAATACCAGGCAAAGGTCTCCCTATAAGAATTTTTCCTCAATCTTGAGTCAAAGTTTGAAACTTGATGGATCACTGGTTGTTGCTAAGTTAGTCCACTAGCCTATATAAGAATTAAGAGTGTATTGGTCTCAAGTTGTTCTTGTAATCGTTGACTCACGGATAAATAATAAAAGATTTCGCTCATGTTTTTCGCAACCTAGAGTCTCTTTTTATCGGTATAACATAGCTAATTTGTCTTGATCATAACACCAAGACTACAAGGTCTTTGGATGACTCACAAAGAGATTAAAAACTCGGATGGTTTGAATCCGATGCCATATGAGCCAAAGGCCCTTTTCCCCAACAAAGTTACATGTTTTTCCCTTGTATGCTAATGATTCTTAGGTTTAGTATCATTTTGATGTAAAACTGGGTGGAGAAAGCGGTTGCTAGTTCATTCATCCAAAATTGTACACATTCGTGTTATCTTTTAGTTTTCGATTTTCAGATACGGTGTCCGTTATCTTGATGAATGGCTCTTCAAAGTCGCAACTTGGGTTCTTCTACTTGCTTACCAATAAGTTTGTCATCAATATATAGCTTTCAAGAATCTCGACTCGATTATATTGTTTGTTATGACATGAAATCGTGATCGGTATCAGGCAATAAGAATGTCAGAGCCAAACAATCATATGTGTGAGTAATGTAGGAATATAACGTTATATGCCACAAGTAGACTTCTCTATAAGAAAAACAGCAAAAATAGGCACAAAATGATTGAATCTTAGCTAACTTGTTGTTGAGAAACAAGAACAAGAAGTCCCTGAGGACCAACTAAAATCTCACTAAGGAAACTCACAAGCCCGAACCAAACAACAGGAGTTACATCAACACCTGCAAGTGGTGGAATCACTTTCCTGGTCTGAACAAGGATTGGTTCTGTCGGAGCATAAGCTAAAACGTATGGAAACTTCTCTACAGGAAGTTTCGGGTACCAAGACATAACAATTCTCACGATGAATAGAAATCCAAAAGCTGATAAAGCTGGACCTAAGATACCAATTGCGAGCTTCGCAGTTCCTGGATCTAAATCTGCTAAAGTAATGTTATGCAACAACTCTGAAATCGAATTCGTCTCTCCAATGAGGTTTGTTGTTGTGTCTGCTTCTATGTGGTTTAACGATGCTGAAACTATGGGAAGAGACGTGGAGCGATTTCGGAAATTTGGGAAGGATCGTCGAGATTTCTTCGCCTGAAAAATCATCAATTTCGAGAGATGTTATGTAAGGGAGAGATTGAATGATGAATGTTGCTAAATTCTCACTCACATGGAGCAGCGCCGGCGAGAAAGAGACGAAGCTGGTGGTCACTGTCGTCATCACAATCTCTCTGCTCTGTTTTTGTGAACCAAAATCGTGAGTTTTGTGATCGATTCGAGCGTAAGGTTGATAATCTTTGGGTTCTGGAGATAATGCGGATGTGCTGACGTGGAATATGAAAATGCGTACAACCTGAAGAACTTGGGTTAATTTTGAATTTTACGGTTACAACTACAACCCCACACAAACTGAGATTTATTTTTTAAAACTATGCAATGTGATATATGTGCATATGTTTTTTGCGAAAAATTAAGAAATTATTGAATTTTAATTCTTTAGATAAAAATATAATTTATTATTTACTTAACACAACTTTGTGGTGAGGAAAAGAGTTCAAATCCTACAGTTCTCTCATCGCTAGGAATGTAACAAAGAAGGATCACCGTCAATCTTATATAGCAACCGAATTTCTTTCTTTGCTTGAAACAGCTTTTTGAGGATAAAAGTAGTATTTCCGAGGTGTAGTACTCATATGGATTGAACTGAATTGATTGTCTTTTATCCTCCCGACCCCCAAATTTTTGTATTGTATATAAAACTTAACACAATTCAACCAATATAAAAAATGTTAAATACAAATAGTCAAAAATATAAAATTTAATAAATTTTGTATTAAAAAGTGAGAACATCACTTAATATGAAACAAAACAAAAATTTCTCAAACATCAAATATGTTGAAGCAGAGAAAATATATTAATAAACTCTACAAATCATTGTTTTGGCTTTCCCAACATATGTTATGTCTTGTTTTAAACTTTCCCAGGAGTAAAATTCTAGGTTGACAAGTGCTATCTCGAATTACTAGTGGAATTCTAGTGGGAAGGACCGTAGTCTCCATTAGATTTTATGGGAGAAAATGTGTAAAGCTAAACATGAAGGAGGTGTGGGCTTTCATTCACTTGAACATTTTAATGACGCAATGTTGGCAAAATAATATTGGTGACTTATAAATTATCCGGATTATTTAGTAGCTCGGATTTTGAAAAGAAGATACTATATATGGGAATAAACATCCTTTTGGATGCAAAAAAAAAAAAACCATATTTGCCGTCATTCAGATGGAGGAGTATTTTTCACAAAGAATTTGGTGGAAAAGGGAATAAGATAGAATGTAGGGTCGGGATTTAATCTTTCGGTTTGGAAAGACCCTTGGATACCAGATGTTAATCCGCGACCAGCAAATGGTAAGAGGGAAAATCTTTCACCCAAATTGGCAGGTTAATCATTTAATAAATCCAATTTCAAAGGAATGACACTTACCTATTTTACAAAAAAATTTTGATCCGGAAGATTTTCAAATCATTAGAGGAATGACTATAAGTCAAACCTACAAACCGGATAGGCTAATTTGGCATTATACAAAATCAGGGAAATACATAGTTGAATCTAGGTATTAGCTTGCTCAGGCTTGGTCAGAAACCGTAGAGTGGAGTCCAAACTACACAACACTAAAGGCTCATTCGTTGAAAATAAGTGCACTACCAAAAATAACACTTTCTTTGGTAAATAGCGTCGAGAGCTCTACCAGTTATTTCAAGCTTAGCCCAACGTGGGGTACGTTGTGATACTACTTGTCAAAGATGTGAGACGGCCGAAAAAACCATAAATCATGCTCTTTTGAATGTCCACATTCCAAACAAATTTTGGCATTGTCTCTGGTTCCGATAATACTAGGAAGTTTTCTTTCAAATTCCATGTATTTGAATCTAACTTCTTATTTTGGAGATTACCATTTAATGTAGAAGAGAGAGAGAAACCTCACTGTTTTCCATGGAATTTATTGTTCTTATGAAAAGGTAGGAATAAAAAGGTGTTTCAAGGTCGACATTCGAAACCAATAGATATAATAAATCACTCTTTAAGTGAACAATTAATGTGGGAAGAACCGAAGAAGCTCAATTGATTCCGGTTGATACAGTCGAAAATAGAGAAACAATAACAATTTTTCTCAAACTCTAAAATGTCGGATTGATGGTTCGAGGAAACAATAGGATCCTACCATAGGTTTAGGGTGGTGGTGCTTTCGAGGAGACGATCTTACAATTTTACTAAGGGCAAAATGTCACCGGACGAGCCTCTCCCCTCTTCACGCGGAATTAGAAGCTCTCTTATAGGCTACGAAAATGATCCTTTTAAAAAGGATTGATTGTCAAATGTTCGAGACAGATAGTACATAACTAGTTTCGATGGTGCAGGCACCAGAGGAGTGGCCTGCTTTCTCCAATCTGCTAGATGAGATTGGTTTGCTTCGTGATTTGTTTCCTTCTTTTTCGCTTTCTAGTATTCCTTGCTCTTGTAATGCTAAAACCGATTATCTAACGCGTTATTCTAAAAGTCTATTTTCTGAAATTTTATTTGTAAACACTTTTTCCAGATTAAGCTATCAATCATGTAGTGATTTTTTAATTAATGAGTAGTTAAAATAAAATAAAAAATTCATAGCAAATTTTATAAAATATATTCACATATACATCCGTGTATATGACTAGACGTTGTACAATGGTTTAACGCCTCTCCACTGTAAACATATAGTACATCCTTAGGTTAAAACACTGCTCATATCCAAAACAAACTTTTTTTTTTTTTTTTTTTAATATCTGGAAGTTCAAGCCCGAAGGCCCTACATCTCCCAGAAGCGGGACCCACACCAGGTTAAATTCATCTCCTTTGGAGAAGAGATCCCTCCCAATGGGTACCTCCACCTGGGAGATTTACCACTGGGCCAACACAACGTTGGTATCCAAAACAAACTTAGCATATAAAAGTCCACATAAACTTCTATTTCACCAAAATCCTAAAATTTTTGCTGTGTTTTACAGTTTACATCACCCAGTTAAAAATTCGTGGCGAATTTTCTTATTCTTCTTGACCTGCACTCCCTGAGGTACTGCCTCCTACTTCAATCTTGATTCCTCTAATCATCTTTTTATCCCAAACTTGTCCTATTTCAATTACCAACAAAACAAAAACCATTGATACAGCTAAATTTTTCAAGTTTTTGAGAGAAAGAAAACAAAAATTGGCCCCAATATTACTACATATTTTATATAAAAAAAATTTTTGGACCCCTTTTACTAAAGAAAAAGAAATCAAAAAATCTGATGGATCATGTGCAAATGCACCCCCAACACATGCAAACACACACAAGTTTTGGTTCTATGCGTAATAATGTGTTGATTTGTTTGTAAAACTTTTCCTGAAGATTGTTGGAGGTTTGTAGATTTTTGTTGCCTTTCATTTGAGACAACAACAAATTGTACCCACCTCTACTTATATATTATCTATCGATGCATAAATAAAGATTCAGCAAGAGAACAAAATAAAAGCTGGTCTATTGAAAATTGGCAATGCATAATATATAAGCTTTCCGAGAGAGAGAAGAGAAAGATTATCAACGCAATTACAGAGCTGGACATTTGCTAATGTCTTCCATAGCAATGACCGATGAAGAGCAACTGTTTAAGAGGTTATTGTCCATATAACCTATCTCAAACCTGTCACCTCTAGATGATTTGATAGTGAGTTTGCTTAGCTCGCCTTTCAATATCGCATTATTGGCATTCTTACTAAACATGTCTTAAGAATTATTTTTCTTTTCGTTGTCTTAATTGATTCTATGTTTTGCAGAAGGACATCTATGTACCATACTTCATACTTCATGTTAAGAACAACAAAGGAGATACTGACTGTACGAGCCAACTAAAATTGCCAATTCTAATTGACATCAGCTACTCTTAGTGAAATTTATTTTTCTTTGCCTGTGGAGAATTCTAGATATCTATTGGTCATGGCTTCTTGGCATTACTGATTCATTGATTTGTGCAAATATTTTATAAAGTCAACAGTAGTATGTAATAAGCCTCTAAGCAAAATCTAATTTGCTTTGGCTGTGGAGAGTGAGAGAAAGTCTCAATTCTCATGGCTGCTTTTTGGAGTGTCTCTCCGTAAAGTTCTTTAGCCTGGAAAAACCTTCTATGAGAAGCTCAAGCTCAACTGCGAAGGTGATACGTAGCCAGTTCTTGAGCCCAACAGCGCGACCTGCAAAAAACGCATCGTTTATCTGTTATTTTAACTACCCCTGCTGTCAACTTGTTAACAAAACTATAATATTACCTGGTAGGATGATCATAGATTCCTCTTTAGCCAGCTTGGAGCAGAAGTCCATATCATCAATGATACCTTCGAGTAGCGAAAGGTTTAACTTCACCTGCACCAAAAAATTGATAAGCCTATGAGGTTGAGCTTGCGGTTAGCCAATGAGTAATCTGATTCTTGTTGATTCATTACCATCGTGAACATTGACCCCTCAGGTTTGCAGGGGCAACTGATGCAAGGGATCTTCTTAAGCTCTTCATAACAAATCTCTGCACATTTTTTCACCATTTCGAGTTTTGATGCGAAGAATTCTTCCTTTGTATTCCCAATGATATCAGGCATTGCTCCCTGCCACGAACGAAACCAAGAAAAAACAAAATCAATTTTCTTAAAAAACACCGGCCGTGATTCAACACCAATGCATCCCATCAACATACCTGAATAAACGTTGCAGGCTCCGTGGACAAGTTGACGACATGGATAAGAGTCTGAACAAACTAATAGAAAATAAACAGAGATTGTTCACAAATACATTCTTGAAAAGATATTAATTAAGTGAACAAAATGTAACTCAATAACAAACCCCGGAATCTTTCATGATGCCATGAGGGTCAAGAGTCACCATCCAACCAAGTCTCCATCCAGGAACAAACCATCTTTTAGATATGGCACCTAAAACAATCACAGGCACTATCTCTGCAAACTCTGCCAATGACACAAAGGGTTTGTCCCCAAAAGCAAAATGGTCATAGACTTCGTCTGCAATCAGAAGTATTCCAAGCTTGCAAGCCGTCTCAGCAATCTTCATCCACCACATAAAGAAAACAAAGACGTAGTTCCATAACAAATTCAGTTCATATTTACGAAAACTGAGAACAACTCCGCAGTAAAACCGAGACAGAACCCATTTGCACTAATAAAGAAGGTATTCAACTCTAAAATTAAACGAATAATAAGAAGGAAGTGTACACCTTTTGAAGATGTTTGCGAGAAAAAACATTCCCACATGGATTGCAAGGATTTATAACAACTATAGCAACGGTTTTGTCATCCGCCAGAGCTTCAACTCCATCAAGATCAACATCCCAACCATTTTCTGGTAGGAGGTCAAAATAACGAACCTCGAGTCGGCAAAAAGCCGCTAGGGAATCATACATCGGGTAAGTAGGCCTAGGAAGCAGAATGTTGGCTCCAGGAGTTGCGAGAGCGGATATCAAAATTTCGATGGCTTGCACACAACCAGCTGTCATATGAACATCATTTGGAGATATCTGGTAAGAGAGATCCTGAGAGAGGTACTCTGCAACAGCCCTATTGAAAGAAGGAAACAGAACCACCAAATCATCAATCCTTTCTCAAAAGCTTTTAGTTAAGTTGATACATTGCACATGTGATCCAAGTATGAATAAAAGTGACACTAATCGCAACAAAAAATCTCAATGATTTAACCGATTAAACGGTTCAGATTATTGTCTTTGAGTAATCATGAAGCAAGAACAGAGACCCTAAGAGATATCAAAAGAAAAGAAAAAAGCCAAACAGAAGAAGTAATCTTACTTCCTAGCGACAGGAACACCGGAAGAAGAAGAATAGTTGTTAAACTTTGTCGAGCGGACAGCATCACAGATGGCTTCAACAGCGGCTTGATCTGTACGAAAGCTCGGGAATGGAGAAGGATCGCCGTGTCCCAGGGGAATGACGGGCCTTACGTCACCACCGTCGAGATTACTCATTAAGGTGTTAAGATAGTCACGAATGGTAAGTGAGTTAGATCGTTGAACGACCTCGTTAGCTCCGAAGTTCCATCGCTTGGCTCCGTTTTCTCCCATTATTTTCTTAGAAGAGACGTGACAAAATGTGACACCGATGATTTTGGTTATGAATGATTTGTGAATGGGACTGGTGTGGTTGTCGTTGGTAAACCATTTCATTTATTTTGGTATTAGAGAAAACGCCAAATTTGGTCATTTAGAAATTTAAGATATGTCTTACACACTGATTTTGGAGTTTAGTAGTAGTATTTACGCGACAGCATCTTTGTTTTTTTCTCCTTTTTTTTTCTACATAAATTTAATTTTATATAATTTTATTAAAATATTAGACTATGTATCTGTATGGTGTCAATTAGGGTTACCCAAAAATCGTTCCATAATAGGACATGTTAGATTTTTTCAGATGTCCATAATAAAGTGGGTTTTTAATGGGCTAAACTTGTGTGGATATTGTGTTGGACTAGCAACTATGATACTTCAAATAAGAGAACAAATAAAAATATTAGTTTCAAATTTTAAATTATAGATCTGTTTATTAAATAATATTTAATTTTCATTAGTATTTAAATAAAATATATCATACTTATATTTTATAATGTAAAAAAGACAAAAATATTATGAAATTTTAATGAATTGGATCGGACCAAGATTTAGGAAGATATGATTTTATCTAATGAGAAAAATAAAAGAAAGAAACCCTATCATTAACGATTGCATAAGATATTAGTTTTCCATTTATTTTTGGTTGCTATATACATAGGCCCGATTGGTAAACATTAAAGTTATTGGGAGTAATCGAGAGGAGATAAATTGGTATGAAAATAAAAGTGATAGTTAGAGTAAAAGAGAGTAAAAGTAAATAAAAGAGTTTTTGATGTGATTGGTAGTTAAAATGATTAAGTGAGAGTAATTGGAAATAATTAGAAGGATATATTAAAATATAATATTTTATTAATTAAGAATAAAATTACAAACTATTTTAAACAAAAATAAATAGTTTACATTAACTAATTTAATATTAGAAAAAAAGTTGGGTTCACCCCTAGGGGTGAAACTCTTATGTTCACCCCATTTATTTCATCCAATCAAAATTGCCACCTATTAATAATAAAAAAATTCATTTAATTATAAAATTTAATTTGCCACTAAAACGAAATTATGTATCGGTTTATGTTTATTAGAAAGGATTAGGGTTTAGATTTTATGATTAAACGAGTTTAACTATCGGTTTGGGTTTATAAACGGATTTAAATTTTACAATTAAACGAAGTTAAGTGTCGGTTTGGATTTAGAAAATACGATTAGGGTTTAGAACTTTTACGATTAAACGAGTTTAAATGACGGTTTGGGTTTACAAAGGAGAATTAGGGTTTAGATTTTATGATTAAACGAGTTTAACTATCGGTTTGGGTTTATAAACGGGTTTAGATTTTACAATTAAACGAGGTTAAGTGTCGGTTTGGGTTTAGAAAGTACGATTAGGGTTTAGATTTTTACGATTAAACGAGTTTAAATGACGGTTTGGGTTTACAAAGGAGAATTAGGGTTTAGATTTTGTAATTAAACGAGATTATATATCGGTTTGGGTTTATAAAAGAGTGGTTATGACTTAATCTTATTGTTTTATTTAGAAAATAATTGTTTTAACTTTTTTAACTAGATGACATGGCAAATTCTAATTGGATAATTAAAAGGGGGTGAATGAAAGTAGTTCACCCCTAGAGGTAAACCCAAGAATTGTTCTTAAAATTATATCATGTTCTAATAAACACAATTTCAAATTATAGTCTACCGACGATGAGATTCACGTTGGTTTACTGACCATAAATTTTCAACAATTTAATCACGTACTATACGCGTAAATATTCCTGCATATATTTCTTCTTCACCTCCGATACAATTATTATCTTATTTCTCATAATTTCCAATTTGTTGTGTTTACATTACATTATTTACGATATCGATGTTGTCAAAGTCAAAGCCTTGAATACTGTGCTGAGGATTAAAATTATGCAGACTCATTGTAACAAATATAACACTTTTTTGTGTAGCGATATCATATCTAGAAAATTTGATATGGGTCAAATTAAATCCCAAGACTACTCTCTCAAATAAGAGATCAATTGCAGTACTTTAGGGTCGAATTTCACAAAATTCTCGTTGTCCACACAATAAACTAATCAGCAATCGAATTAAGCTAAATAGAAAATAAGAATATTAAATTAGATTTAAATCAATTGATGGAAGTGCTAGACTTAATTGACTGCAATCTGACTACTAGGCTGCTTGTAAAACTATCTCGCATAATACTCCAATAGTGAAAATATGTTTTTCGTCATTCACTTCTTCTTCTAGCAATATCAACTCTGCAATTTCTTTGTCACCAAGATTTTCAATTTCGCAGGAATGTAACTCAGCTATTCGAAGTTCTTGATATTTCATATAGGCACAGAGTTAGAGATTATAAATCATATATTAATTTCACAACATATAAACATAAATAAACAAGATTAATTTTTATTTACAAGTTGCAACACACAAAACCATTGCTACTTATGCCCATCATCATCATCATCTATAGAAAATGAGTCTAGTATGGCAAATGCATATGTGATTTGACGTGAACGCATCACATTCAGTAACTCTCCATCAATTTGTGTCTCAAAAGTAACTCTTCTCATATGATTATGTCGTGTAGACGTAATACGCCACATGAAGATGACCTCCTACCAAGATGTGTAGAATGTGTAGATGTGTCTCTATTACAACAAACGGGTAACCGAGAAAGTGTTGAAATATTATCTTCAGATGCACTTCGGTAAAGATCTTCATGAGGATAGGTTCGACCATATGCTTCGTTGTCATTCACATAGACATCATCATCGTTTGTTTCTCCATTTTCTGTATGATGGAGATGAACGCCAAGCATGTCTGGTGACAAACTATCAGCTTGATCCACGTTGTGTTTGGTAAAAATTTGATCAAGTAAATCTTTGGTTGGAAGAGGATTATTTTGCGAATTTGTTATATATTTCCGATTGCTTTATGTGACTTCCTGAATTAATAAAAAAAAACATATTTTATTAGGTGTACGGAATAAAATTTAAAAATTATCAACACTGTAAATATAATTAGGTTAAAAGATTTATCAACAAAAATTAATGTAAAATATATTACCGTGCATTGATCTGCCCACCATGATGATAACATCTCAATTTTTAACATGTACACCATTACGGCCGCTTAATGTCTTGTTGTAGAACCACAACCTTCTCAAATAATCAATTTTGTCTTTCATCTTTGGCTTCCACTTAACCTTTCATAAAATTTTGCTTATATACTTTGTTTCCCATAAACATAATGGTAGCCTAATCGTATAGTCTTCCGCTTCTAATTCATTGATTATAAAATCAAGTAGAATTCGAGTAGTTCTAGCCAGTGGCGGAGCTACTTGGTAGGGAGGAGGGTCAACTGACCCCCATAACATTTATAACTTTTTTTTTTATGTAAGCCTTTATAGATTTTACATTATGCCTAATTTGGTTTGACCTTGGTCAATTGACCCCATGTCTCAAGTTCAACTACTCCCTTTAACCCCTCTTTCTATTTTTCTTTAATACCTTTTTGTATCTCTTTATGCTTTTAAATTTTTAATAATAAGTCATATTATTTTTACATATTAGTATTTGATAGACAATAATAAACATATTTAATACCATTTTTAATAAAACAAAAATAAAAATAGGAAATGATGAATAACTTGAGACTACACCCATATGAGTCATATCTCATACGAGTTAAATATTTCTAAAACTATGTATCTATTGTAATCGGAAAATAACTAAAAGTTATCGCGTTTGTAATATAATGATATTATTATTAATTATATTTTCTTATATTAAAAAGCTAAAAGTAGTATAAGAAATAAATAATATAGTATTAATATAGAATTATATTAATATATGACTCCATAATATATTATTCTAGTTCCGCCACTAGTTCTAGGCGTCCATTTATGATAAACAACATTTTCAATTTTCAATTGTCAAAACCCTCCATCATTAATGAAAACTAAAACAAATGTAGACATGAAATTAGAATTGATGATTTTTTAAAGTAAACATACGTTCCGTGTTGGACCATCACCACTAGTACTATCACCTCTATTATTCATCTGCATAAACATGATAATTATCATAAAATCAATAAGTCAATATTTGAACCTTGAATATCGAAAAAATCGATATCCAAGAGTTTTCCACAATTTTTTACCTGAATTGGGCATAATCCTGGCGGCCCCCGGCAATCGAACACTTCACTACCGTCTAAGCGGCCGCGGTAACTCTGTTATTGAAAACGGTTAAAAATTTGAAAAAAAAATAAATCTAATTAAATTATATTATTTATTTTAGTTTGAAAAACAAAGACGTAATTTTTGCCAAAAAACATTAAACCGTTTATCCTGCCAAAAACATGAAACCGTTTTTCAGCCAAAACCCTCAAAACGATTATTTTCCACCAAAGAGAATACAAAATGATATTTTTTGCCAAACTTTAAAATTGTGAAATTTTGCAAAAATAGAGTCTTCCCCCAAATTCACAAAATCGTGTTTTTTCTGTCAAAAATCGCAAAATTATATTTTCCGTCAAAATCACTAACCATTTTTTCCGCCAATTCAAACCCCACATCTTCCCATCAAAAAATACAAAAAAATATTTTTTCACCAAAACAATGTTTTCGCACAAAATTGTGTGTTTTCTGCCAAAATCGCAAAACCGAAATGTTTCGCCAAAATCTAAAAAAACTATGTTTCCTGCCGTATAGCAAAACCGCATTTTTCTTCTAAAAATATTGTAAAACCATGTATCTTTTTGGTAAAAAACCATGTGGAAGTCGAAACTAACACAATCGAGATTTGTCTAGGGTTTTATTTTAGGGATACGATATGCAAGAATTCTCAAAGAACAACAGAAAGAATTGTAACCAAAGATGGTGTTCTTGATATTTTTGATGAAAAGAATAGCTTTGATCGTACAAAGAGTTAGATCGTAAAAGAAAAGTGTTTTTGCTTAAGAGCTTTGTGTAGTCTAAAGTTTCGAGC